TTTCTATTTTGTCCAGGATTACAATTGGATTATGGCCTGTTTAGAAAGTTTTCAAAGGAATTTGATTGTTTGTCATGCAGTTTGGAGAATCTGCACAAGGCTTGTTGAAAGATTACAATGCACCCCAAATATTTCAAGAAGACTTCTTTGATGTTTTAGATAGAGATAGTCGACCACCATTCAGATGGCTTATCATTGGGCCCGAGAGATCTGGTGCCTCTTGTCATGTTCATCCAGCACTTTTGCCTGGAATACTTTTCTATTTGGTCCTAAAAGGTATTTTTGAGATGTTACCTCTGTATTTATAAAATGCTTCCATGTGGATGATTTTGGATTTCACATATTATATCTCAAGCTTAGCAATAGTGCACGTCTTTTCGTGTTGCTCATTTAGGAATATCCTCCTGCAACTTTATTAAATGTTTTATTTTATTTGTTTCATTTGACCTTATACCGGTGCCCTTGTTACGGTGTACCACAAACTGGCTGATAATTTATATTTGGCTGCATATGGTTGTCACTTGTGTTGCTTCACTGTAGCTGAAAAGCTGATAACCGGGATGTCACGTTTAAATATTTTTTGGACAGGTGGGCATTGTATCCTCCTGGAAGAGTGCCTTTGGGTGTTACAGTGCATGGAAATGATGAAGATGGTGATGTCAACATTGATACTCCATCATCGCTGCAGGTATCTAATTCTGATATCCTAGGCCCTGTGTCTGATCTCCTAGTTCTTGTCAATTTTGGGGAGTTACATTTTTTTAATCTGGAAACAACCGATGCCGTGATACAAAATTTTGTAAATTCCAGAAACTTTGAATTTGTATATCTAGATATGGCTCCAGGTTAGCATCGTAAAGGAGTTTTCCGTGCTGGATTGCTTGCTCTTGATAAGGCTGTCTAGAGAACATTGGGAAACATGCATCCTATGAGACAATTTTAGTTACTCAGACCTGACAAGGAAAGAGAAGAGGGTCGGAATTTTAGGATCTGAAGAGAGTGAATTTGTGGAAACGAGATTTTTTTTATTATATAAATTTCTTGGCCCTGTTTCTGGATAGAAAGAGAGACCACTGTACTTCTCCATGGAGCTCAGGCAATTGCATAGGGCCACGAGAAATGAGGGAATGGCTTTCCAAACTTTGGGTTGGAAAACCGGGAATGAGAGAGCTGATTTGGAAGGTATGTTACATTTTTAACACAAGTATCTTCATCCCCCCAAGCCTGTCATTTTTTTTCTTCTTTTTCCTGTTCTATGATGAGTTGACTAAGCAAAATAAAATAGGCACCAATATATTTTAAGAGAGATAAACTAGGCATATTCTTAAAAGATATTCTGTCAAAAATAAATTACAAATTGTTGAAAAATATAAATAGAAGCCCTTCTATTCAGAAGATTTGCTTGATAGTGAAACTTCTATGTTCACATATTAGGATGATTATGTCTGCCAGATTTATCTTCTCTGGTAAATGCTCTCTATAGTGTTTACTACAGATTTTTCTATTGTTATTGCTTTCTCAAAAACTTTGGCATAGCTATACCAAAAAAAAAAACTTTGGCATAGCATATAATCTTTTATCTTGTTGCTAACGTTAATTTTTTTCTTTTTTTATTTTTTCTCTGATTGTCTTAGGGAGCATGTCTTGCACTAAATGTTGAAAAATGGCTGGAATGCTTGGGGAAAATCTGCTCCTTTCACAATTTGCCTTTTCCCAATTAGGATGAGAAGCTTCCTGTTGGAACAGGCAGCAATCCCCTGAATTTGTTGTTATATTCGTTCATCTCTTAAGTGCTCTCTTCATTTACATATGGAAAGTAAGGAGAATTGATTGTGAGAAATCAATTAAGGATCTCCCTAAGACAATCAATTAAGGCAGCAACACCTTGTAACAAGTCATGTTTTCCAATAGTGTTACACTAACCATATTCCACTGGGCACATTAACTATGACATAAATCCTCGGAGCTTGATAAGGAGTATTAAAGACTGGTGAAGGATTCCCACATAGTGGCATTCTGCAACAAGTGATCCCACTGCTGTTTATTTAACATGTTGATAATAAATTTGATGTTAAAGGATCTGATCTCTTCGTTGTTGATGACTAACGGATTTTTTATATTCAATCATATTATCGACAGAGAACTTTTGTGTTTTAATTGACTTTTAATTCTTCTCCAAGAGGTCTATGTCATGGACGAATATTTGGTCAAAATCTTTGTTGAAGGAGGGCTGGAATCTTCAATATATGGTTTAGGCACTGAGGTTGGTGAATATGTGTATTTATACTTTTCATGCCCATGAATCTTTTACATATTGTAAGTTTTATGTTTCTTTCTGAGCAGCTTTAATTCTACAGCACTCTTTGTGAAGTTAACTCCCCTCTGAAAAACCACATTCCTAATGTATTGGCTAGTGGGATTCTGCACTTGGAAAATGGAGCTTGCAAAATTGATTCTTGGGATGGTAAACAAGTGCCTGATGTGATTGGAAAGTGCATTTTCATTCCAGAGAAGGGCACAGGTGATGTTTTCCCGTTTGGTGTATGGAGCAAGAAACTGTTTGAACTCAGAAAAGCTGGGTCACCAGAATATGGTCCATGCAGTTCAGCTGAATCCACAAGTATTTGGCCTTATCTTATAACAAAGCATTGTAAAGGAAAGATATTTGCTCAATTGTAAGTATTCTTAATTTTACAATTATTCCTTATTTTGAAAGGATCTTAACTTCTAGAACTGGAGATGTCAAAAGTAGATTGGTGCAATAATTAATGTACATTTAAATTCTATGGCAGAAGAGATGTACTGTCATGGGAAGATGTGCTTAACTGAGCTTCCTTTTTAGGAGAGCAGCTACAAGACCATCATATTTTGCCCTATCCTTCCTTCAGTAATTCAACTTTTTCTTATGTTGAAAAGAAAAGGGAGTTTTCCTCTGCCAATGGCATGGACATGGAGTTTGTCTCCAACGAATCAGATATTCCACCTGATTGGGAAATCTTTGCAAGAACCCTAGGTCGGAAGAAGAAGGATGTTTCCAGCCACTTGAATAAATGGTATACCATCTAAGTGGGGAATGAAGTTTGTTGATCAACATTTACAGCCAATATGTTTTTGACTGAGATATTCCTCAGTTCACCTCCTAGTTTTGCAACCAATGATCTTGTGTTTGTGTCATTGTGTCCATACTCCTTATCTGTTTTTTGTGTTTATGAATTTATGCAATTTAGTCGAGAGACATGAGAAGTAGACTTGAGGTTATTATTGTTGAAAATTGCCTATAACATGAAGGTTGTCAAATTTGATTTACTGTAAATTCATAAAAAGCAATTCTTTTGATTCGTAAATAATAATGCCCTTACTTAATTTATGAATACCTAATCACTTATTATTTGATTTATGCATAAATATAATTCGATAATAATTTGATGAATACGCGTAATTAAATAATTAAATATATTATTCGTTATGATTATTTATTTTTCACATATATTATTTATCTCTTTTATTTTTTTTAATTATCACTATAAATAATTTTTAGAAATATGAATATTTTACTATAAATATTTTTTCTTTAAATAAATAAAACACATTATATATATATAAATTACTTTAAAATTATAAAATAAGAGGTTTTATGATTAATAATTAAAATTATTATATTTTATAGTAAGTTGAGCAAAATTTAAAAAAATTTACGATCGCAATAACTGCAATGACCGCGAAGATTTCCGTTATATCCACAATCGTGACAAACGCGATGCGATCGAAAACGTGATCGTTAACGCAATTTAAATCCCTAATTATTCTATCTTGTATTTTCTTAAAAAAAAAAAAAATAAAGCAAACACTTTCTAGAATATTTTACTGTGGTTCATATTTTTTTGGTAATGGTTCATAGCAAGCACTTTCTTGTGCTTACATCCATGCATCCTGATCAGTTATCCTCAAACTGCATGTTTGTTATCCTGTTGTGCTATGTCATCATTTTTTGAAAATGTTAGCATAGTACTCAATGGGCATAACAATTCCTTGTTAAAGATTTTTTTGCTATTTGTTTTTATCTTTTATCTTTGTTTATTTTCTGTAGGTCAGTGCCATGTCATCATTTTGTGAGAGTGTTAGCATAATACTCAATGTGCATGATATTTATTGCTCTGATTAAAGCTATTTTAGTTTATATATCATTCATCTCCTTCCTGTTTTGCTTTAAAGATGTGGATTTGTTTACGCCAACGGAAACTAAATTGCACCTATTGAAAAATTGAATTGTAAAAGCATAATGAATTTGTAGCGAGATCAATGCAAATGAAATCTTCAATACTATCTGATATGCTTGTACCTCTGGTTCGCAGGATTTCTCATTTGAATATTCTGGTTTTATCTTAAAGCGACGTTTACCGTAATTTTAAAACAAAATGAAGTTATTCTTTTTTTTCTAGAAGACATGGTTTTCATGATTTGCTTTATTATTTCTTATGTTGAAGTAAATAAATTATTGAAACAGTGGGCAATGAGTAACTGGCTTTACCCTTGAAAATAGAGCAACTTGACGTGATCAACTTGAATTTGATTTTTTTTTTCGGGTGACCCCATTTATGACTAGATACCCGTAAAGTTAGATGTCTTTGGATTTCCTTAAGCAGTTTCTACGAAGCTATAAACTTCCTTTGCTAAGAAAAACACGACCAGAGCCTGCATCGATGAATGGTAGTGATAAGTTTGGACGACTTTGATACCGCGCCATGTAAGTAATAATTGAGTTACTTTCTTTCCTGGATATTAATTTTGTCATGCTTGTTAGTTTCCGTGCAATTGTAGCAGAGGGCATTAAGAGCTGCAAAAATCTTCAGGACATTTGTATCTGCAGTTGCTACTGTATTTTCCTTGATGAGAATATATTGGGGGATATTTTTAGTTAATGGACCGCACTTAGAACAGCAGAGTCATGGGAAGAAGTTGAGCACATTGCATGCGGGTAATTAAATAACTACGAAGGCTTTGCCTGAAATTATTTTTTTGCTTATAATAAATCAATTTATTTCAATCTCTGAAGCATTTGATTCAGTTCTCAGCTGTTGCAAGTCAAAATTCCAAGGTTTGAATCAAATAATCCAGTAAATTCAGAAATGTCAAAGCACTTTCAAATGCAATGGTGAAACCTTTCGAAAATAAAGATCTAAATCAAACAAATTCCATCGATTTTTTCAACTTGCTATCATAAATTTGACTGATTTTAATGTGATTCAAGTTAAGCAACAATCGAAGGTTTAGAAGCAGCGGAAAGCCTGGATCTTTTCTTGGCTAAACTTTCACTACGACGTTCTCTCTGTTCCTTCAATCTCTGTGCAAGGAGCTTCTGATACTCAGCAGCATCTGCCTTTGCCTTTGCAATTCTCTTCTTTTTCTCAGCAATTCTTGCTCTCTTCCTCTGCAAAGTTAATGGAGTGACCAACCTTTGAATCTTGGGAGCTTTACTGGCTTTTTTTCCTGCATTGCAGAAAAACCAGTATTATAAAGCATGTAATATCGCATAAAACATAAGGAGACTGCACTGATTCAAAAACAAAACCGCAATTTAGTTCCAAGAAAAAGAGGTTGAATCAGCTTGAGCACAGCTGCCACAGGCAATGTCAATCCAGAGACAAAGATTTTTTAGTTTGAAAGAAAAGAGCAAGGTTCCCTTCCGTCAAACATTACACATGTGCATTTAATAAAATCCAAGTTAAAAACACAGCATGTTCTTGGTGATACTAAAACTCTCAACTGTTCTCATCTCACATCGAGTGAACATACAGCAGAAAATATACTACAAAAACATACCAGATTTTGTTGTGAATGATCGACGGTAAGTGTTGACATACTTCCGGACATCATCTTCCTTTGAGAGATTGAAGAGTTTACGAATCTTGGATGCCCTCTTGGGTCCTCTCATTCTCGGTTTCTCAGTATCAGTAAGTCCAGGAAGATCACTCTCACCCTTTTTCACAATTACCAAGTTGAGAACAGAGAGATCAGGGCTCACAATGCATCCTCGAATAGACTTCCTCCTTCGCTCTCCATTGCGCCTACCATATCCTCGGAAGCAAGGCGTCCCTAGATAGAAAAATATTACTTGGTCATTTCATGCCAGATATGCCAGTAAAGTTGCTACCATCACATGCATCTGGATTACAACAAACAGTAGGGACCAACCTCTGTGGAGCAAGAGACGAACACGTCCAGGAGTTAACACTCCCTGTTTCATTGGAAATCCCTGCTTGTCACATCCTCCCATGATTTTGAAAACATAGCCCTTGAATTCCTGCCAAAAGAATATAGAAGTCTGTTATTAAACTAGGAACTTTCAATAAGACTATCGAATCCAATTCTTTTAACATAAGCGTACCTCTCCAAGAGCATCTCCACTGACCTCCTGTGAGATCCTCTTGTCAAAAAATGCTCGGCTATACAGTATAAAAACAAGGAGCCAACGGTGAGAAACAATTACATTACAAATAAAAACATTAAGACCTTTAAACAAGAGTAGCTGCTTCCGCCATAACTAGAAACGATCCTTGTCTCACCATTTCACCAACCAGTATACCGCATTAAATGAAAATTACAACTCCATATGTGATTAACCGAGTCAAACATTGTAGAATTCATTTAGGAGTTACAACTATTAGCTAAACCAGGCATGCTTCCATCTATTGAACTGTCTATATACAAACAGTTGAAGCTAACACAAGCCAAATTTGCAAGTAATAAAAGGTCGCACACTTTCAATTGAGCTAACAAAAAATCCGCTGTAACCAAAAGATCTCAATTACAATCAACCTAACAAGCACCAAGATTCAAACTTTACATTGTTCACTTCATTCTCGTTTGCCCAGGTCATATTTTTCCACTTTAAACCCTTTTTTATTGGTCTACTTAAATACCCATCTCCAATTACATTTCATTCAACAAAAATGTAAACAACCCAAACCCCATTTTCTAAAGAAAAAGAAAATCGAAATAAAGATATAGAGAGATGAACATGAAAACTTACAGTTTCTGATCATCGTCTATTTCAAGCTTCTTTTGGCATCCCGTAGTGGGGTTAGCGATATTGAACTGCAAAGAAAAAAAAGGGTACAAAGTTAAAGTTTGCAACTTTTGAAAGTTTACTTTTGGGGTAAGAAAGATTCAGTCATAGTTGAAAGATGGAACCTTCATGGTGGGCGTAGTGGAGCAGAGGCGGCGGCGCTCAAATCAGTGCAGTTCCTTCTCTTTAGGGTTTTTGAAAGTGAGCTCCACTCTTTTAATTTATATCGTATCTGTAGCAATTTTAAATTTGACTTATAGGGTTCTATTTTTGTTTCGGTGAGGTTGCCCATAATCTGACCAAGATGTGTTAATTGAGCCCAATAGACCAATCAAACCAGGCCCATTTTTTCTAAAATGGGCTTGAGGTATTCCTGGACCAAATTCACATACCAAATCGCCTCAACTTCCGGTCTACCTAATAAATTCCAAATTGATTTGCTGGAGGCCTGGATCTTGGTAAACAATGACCAAATCATCAAATTAAAATTGCAATTTTTTGTTTTGTCTTGAAGAAGGGAATTCGAATCCAATTTTTTGAGCATAGAAATACATTTTTAGTAAAGAAAAACTTGTATTTATCCCCAAATCAAATGCTAAAAAAAAATGCCTATGTTCATTAAGTACTTGTCATTTAATACTTATTCCATGACAACAAGTAATTAATAAAAATATGCATTTGATCCACAAGATTAATCTAGTTAGTAAGGGAGGATTCCCATTTTTTATCAATATGAGTTCGATTTTTATAAAATGTATTTCGAAAATAAAATTTTAAATGTATTAGACCCATAAGAATACGTCCTTAAAAATTAAGATTGTTTATAGGAAAGTACATCTAGAGAAAACTTGGATACCTTGACTGTTTATAAAAAAATTCATTTAATTTGATTTCTCTACCAGATATCCTTCCTTTTCAAAGTACGTAAATTCATAACAATGAGTCCCCAACCAAAAAGAATAGAACATTAAGTTGTCTCAGAAGGATCACACTGAAAGTAATGATTATGTTGTTTTTTTATCATGTTCAGTCAAACAGGAAACCAATGAACAAACATTTTTCAATTTAAAGGACAGCTAGAAATTAATTACCATCAACTTCAAATGATTATGTTTTCTTCAATTACAGAACAATCAAAAGGCAAAAGGATGAGGGAAGAAAACGAAAAAGAGAGATCAGTCATGGCGGTGCACCTAAAGAAGAAAGCTTGTTAACAGAAAAAAAAAAAAAAAACCATATCTGTTAATAATAGTGTACTGATTCCAACCTCCACTGCTGAAGAAACCACGATTGTAATATTGTAATAAGTTAATAATAAAATAATTGAAAGGGGTTTTCCATGAGCCAAATGGCATGACAAGGATCGAACAGAAAATTCTTCAATTATTCATTAATAAAATTCTGAGGTTGATGATTATATGAACAATGGCTATTGAATGGGGTCTATTTTGTACAATTTTTGTTCACAGTGGACACAAAATCACCACTTGTGTCTACATCTTCGAAATCTGCATCAACATCTAATAAAAAGGTAAACAAATCAGCACTAGATTGTTGGAGATTGGAAGGGTTGTGTTGTACAATGTAGAGAGACACATTCCCATATGTACGCAGCAGTAGTTTTGTTTATACTCCTCGAGCAGATTTTACAGCCTCCAAGACAGCTCAAAATGTTATACCTCGGGTTTAGGTTTGAAACCATGGCCTTTGTTTCCTGTTTACCAAAATTGGCAGCTTCATTTATAAAAGTTAATTCGGAGATATACTTTTGCATTTCAACTTTTAAATTGAGCATGCTATCCCCTTTCCACAATCCCAGCTAGCTGATTAGTAAGTTCTTGAAAAAAGAGTTTTACTCTCCAAATGATTCTGGTTCTGCTTTTACCGGACCTTGTGCCCAAAACTGCAGACCAAAAAACATATATGTTTCGCCCAAGAGTGCATGATGGTGTTAGGCGTCTGGAGGGTCACCCTCGATGCATAATCCTCTCCCCTGCCAACGTAAGTCCTGTAGGTGGGACCTGGTCGGATATAGGGTAAGGTAGAGTAGAGTAGAATAAGAACTTAAAGCTAAAAAAAAGAGATGCTTCTGTCTTAATCGAACAGGTTATGCATCTTAATTCCTCCACCGAAAGGTCATTTCTTTTCTTCCTTTTTTTCTTCGTTTCTCTAATTGATCAATCTCCTATGACACCTACCGCTGATATCTCGATCAACCTGGCGAACTCTATCAGAATATAAGTACAGCTATTTTGTTCAAACCACTCAATGGCTGAAAAATAATCATTAAAATCTCAGGTTATTAAATATTAAGCATTAACATGGGAAAACTTTTTTTTTGGGGGGGAGGGGGGGGGTGAAGAAGGCAATTGTTGCGTAAAAATATTTTTGTAGAGTGAGTGCAGTTGCTCATGGGGAGTAATATAAAAAAACAGCCATTGTAGTCTTTAGACCAAATATTGGGTGTCGGGTGTTCAAGCCATTTTTATGTGACCTCTGGCTCTGAGTAGAAATGTATTCCGGAAATTGCAAATACTGAATTAACAAATTGATAAAAGGGTTACTTGGACTTGCTAGGGCAGGCTGTATAATTGGTCAATAATAGTAGCTGTTTTTGTACATAATTCAACATTTCTGGCCGGTATGCAGGTGGAATATGAACATTTTGGGACACAATTCACTTCCCGAGAAAAAGGAAAATCATTTTCTCAACTTTGCCAATCTGAATATTTGTTCGGCTGATTTCTTATTGTTAATAAATTTTCACATTTCAATACGGGCTTTCTTTGTTCAAATTATTTAGCGAGGCAGAAAAGTGGGCCTAGGCCAAGGTATGAGCCCAATAAACCAAGAATGCCCAATAGCCCACTCATTATTTCAAATTTCAAAATCATTCTCTACCACCAAAAACAAACGAGTAGCTTTTTCATGTGGCCTACTCAGAATCCCTTCTCCTTTTGCCTCCTAAATCCAACGGTCCAGATTTCATCCCCCACTTTTTCCTCCCCTCCTTTCGTCAACGCTATCATCGCCCCCACTTGTCGTACCCCCTCAAAACCCATCCTAATCTCAGATCTAAAAATTTTCAAAAACCTTCTGTTCCCCTTTCTCTTTCCCTTCTCTCTAACCTGATTGAAAAATCGACAATGGCCGCGACTCATTCACCTCGTGAGGAAAATGTCTATATGGCAAAGCTCGCCGAGCAAGCCGAACGCTACGAGGAAATGGTCGAGTTCATGGAGAAAGTCTCGGCTTCCGTTGAGAGCGAGGAACTCAGCGTTGAGGAACGTAACCTCCTCTCCGTCGCTTACAAGAACGTTATCGGCGCTCGCCGTGCTTCCTGGCGCATCATCTCCTCCATTGAGCAGAAAGAGGAGAGCCGTGGTAACGAGGATCACGTCGCTGTGATCCGTGATTATAGGGCCAAGATCGAGTCCGAGCTCTCCTCGATCTGTGACGGGATCTTGAAGCTTCTTGACACCAGGCTTATCCCTTCGGCTTCCACTGGAGATTCGAAGGTCTTCTATCTTAAGATGAAGGGAGATTATCACAGGTATTTGGCTGAGTTCAAGACTGGAGCCGAACGCAAGGAAGCTGCTGAGAGTACTCTCACTGCCTACAAATCTGCTCAGGTAAATTTTCCCTCATTTTCTCGGAGATCTGTTTTTTTTTTTTTTTTATTCTTTGTATTAAACTTTTTTCTGTTTGTCAGGACATTGCCAACGCCGAGTTGGCTCCTACTCACCCGATCCGACTCGGACTAGCACTCAATTTCTCTGTCTTCTACTATGAGATTCTCAATTCTCCTGATCGCGCTTGCAACCTCGCCAAACAGGTGGGTTACCAATTTTCTTTTATTTTTCTTAATAAAAATAATTTGTTTATAAATCTAGAGTTGCTGAAGCTTTTGATTGGTTAGGCATTTGATGAAGCAATAGCAGAGTTGGATACTCTAGGCGAGGAATCATACAAAGACAGCACCCTCATCATGCAACTCCTCCGTGACAATCTCACTCTCTGGACCTCCGACATGCAGGTAACTTAATAATTTCACCTTTTAATTTTTAAATAAAATCCTTTCTTTTTCTTTATTTCTTGTTTTTGCCCCCAATTTAATTATATATTTTAATTATTAATTAGGATGAAGGAGCTGATGAGATTAAAGAAGCACCGAAGCGTGAGGAGGAGCAGCAACAGCAACAGCCAAAGCAGTAGTGAGACTCTGTTGGGGCTATTTCTATTATATTTGCCAATTTAGGGTTTCAAATCAAATGAAACTTTCTACCCTTCATGTGTTTTTGATAGGAGAAGATTGCTGCTATCAAATATTTTAGGCAATTCTTGTCTTTGTTTTACTCAATCGTCTATGTACTGAGTTTTATTTTATTTTTTTTTCATTTAGCTTGTTATGTTGAAAATTCTACGTGCTTCTGAATGTTCTCTATTATCTGCTGTAAGCATAATAGAGAAGAATTTTATTTTCCTATTTTTATTTCTGGAATGGAACTGAATGATTTGGAAGTAGAACCTTCTTTTGTCTAACCAAACATATGGGGTATTTTTTGTTTGAATTTTAAACTTGTCTCGTTTACTGAAATGTTGTCTAACCCATTCATTTCTGGAATGTCTCGTTTACTTGTGGGGTCGAGTACTGAAAAGTAGTAGTCTTCTTTTGTTAAAACGCTCGATGCCTAATGGTTTGCAAATTCAGTCGATAAGTTGCTTCTTTTCATGAAAGCTGCTTGCCAGTTGGCAGTTCCTTTTTCCTCGCACGAGCTCCAATGTCTTAAGACTCATTTATATATCTTAACATCGGAATCTAAGGGGGTTGTTTGTATTCAATTGCATTGTGAGGTACATTTGGGTAAGCATTTTAAGGGCATAATTGAAGCTTTCAAATTTCAATTGTACTGTCCGTTCAGTTGTTGGATTCTACGAAAGTGGATTGATTAAGTGTAAAACTGAAATAATAGATTTTTCTCAATTATGACGCTTGCTGTCCATACTTAATTTTATTATCATCATTTGTTTCCACCTAAATTTTTTTATAATTAATTTTAATTCCATTATTTCTTTTTAAATCTCACCGTTTATTTTTCTCAATATTACAATAATTAATTTCATCTCAATTTCACTCAAATTAATTTTACAATCATCTAAATCTTACCAATCATCAAATTAGACACGTAATGATGTATAGACTAGGTGATTCACAAAAAATTTTAGATTTAAACAGGTAGGGCCATGGGGACAAATGCTTGAGAAATGCTGAATGGCTAATTAACATGTTCGTATTTGGTGAGCTGTCTCATTCACTTTTCTAAATCGTACAAAGGTTACAGCATGGATTATGTGCGACTTTGCCTTTGTGGTTGGACAAGTTGGCTTTTGCTTTTACCAAACTGATGGAGCAGAATGAGCACAAACCACAAATTGACTGGTAGGTTCGTCCTACTTCTTTGGACTGCACATGGGATTTAATGAACCACCAAATCACAAGATATCCGGCAATATTGTGAAGCACTTGCTATTATCTTTGGTTCATTGGATAATAAACATAAAATAAAAATGGGGTTGCGGTGGTGCTGGGAGAGGGGACGTACGGCCTGGTGACAAGCTTAGGTTCAGTCCATCGTTCTTCAGGTTTGGGCTTTGTTGGCCTCACTTCAAGACAAATATTAAATCTTGTGGGCTCATAACTAGGTGTAATAGCAGCCCACCTTGTAGCAACAGTTTCAAACATGTAAATTGGACAGATCAAGATGAGTTATTTCAAATGGAAAAAATTTAAATCATTTCCACTTTGAATATTTTAAGGCTCGAATCATGATTTAGATTACTTTAAATTTAAATTTTAAAAATTTAATATTAAAAAAAATTAAAATTAAATAGTTTTGAATTAAGATTAAACGTATTGAAATTGTTAATTTGGTTTGAATTTGGTTGCGAACGAGGTTTTTTCAATTCAAATCAGATTTGCTATCTTCGTGATATATAATCCGCAACCTTGCGTAATTTCTATAGCCTTTTTTTTTTTTCAGTAATTTTCTATAGCTTTGTTAATTTTTTTGATAAATAATTGTGCTAATCTATAATTTATTCAAAAACAAAATGGGATGGCTTACATAACCTCAAAAAGCTCCAGTGGTACTCTTTTTTATTTTTAATTTTGGATTTAAATGATTTAATCAATTGGCTTTTAATGATTTAAATTTAAAATAAATGGTACAATATTTTCAAAAAATACATATATAAGCTACTGTCAAAGATAAAATATAAGTTAAATCAATTCATTCAACTTTCCTCATAAATCTCTTCCCACGAAGTAATTCTTATAAAAAATTTGGTATGTTGAAATGGATTTATTCTATTTTAAGATTTTGCATTTTTTTTCACATATTGAAAAATTATTTTCAATCATAAATTAAAATAAAAAATAATTTTTTATCTTCAAACATATAAAATAATAAATGTAGCCATTTAATATCTCCCAATAATTTTTTTATTAAAAAATAAAACTCCTAATTGGAGACCAGTTACCATTACTACAATGGTAGTTCTAAGCCATAGCCATAGCCAAGTTTTTCTTCAACTTGTTGTTTCTCTCTTGGATATTGGAATGGCTACCTCGCTTCGTTTTCAAGTTTCCATGTTCCTCTCTCTTGTTCTTCTTTCACATCCATGTTATGCTGGAATTCTACGGACTTGCCACCTTGATGCCATATATCAGCTCGGGGATTCCATATCGGACACTGGAAATTTGATCCGAGAGGACCCTTTATCTCCGTTTGCTAGGCTTCCCTACGGTGAAACCTTCTTCAAGAACGCAACTGGGAGATGCTCCAATGGCCTACTAATGATCGATTACATAGGTAATTTGTTTTCTTTTTTCTTCTTAATTTTTTGTTCTCATTGTATATGACATAGAAATAAAATCCATGATGAGCAAATGAAACAAGTTAAATACGGTAAATCAAACTACTTGATGAGTATTTAATATAGTAATATTGTACATAGTGGCAACAGCCACGTGATACATTAGTAGAATATGGAACTTTTAGTTTCATAGTTCAAATTTTGATAATTTTGAATAAAAGAAAAGTAGTATTGTATTTAGTAGTAGTATTTTTTTTTTTTTGGTGAAGAACTAATATGTTTCTTTAATAAACTTCTTGAAATAAGATAAAGAATCAACAACTTGACCAACTGACGATATGATTTAGAAAAGTTTCAAGCTCAATATGTTGAACCTTTTTTTTTTCCTTTATTTGATACTTCACAGTCTTCACTATGTTACTTTGTAAGAGATACTGTCGCGTACGGTTACTTTCACGAAAATTCAGTCACTCTTTACCTTAATTATGATTGTTTTCTACAAAAATAAAAGTAGGACTTGTTGTTTATCTAATAAACCGAATTGGCTTGTGCTTTGACAGCTCTATCTGCTGGAATCCACTTCCTTCAGCCCTACTTAGACAGTGATGCACTATTTACTCGTGGTCGTGGGGTGAATTTCGCCGTTGCAGGATCTACTGTTTTACCTGTGGAAATTCTAGCTGAGGATGGAGTTCTAGCCCCAGTCGCCAACACTTCTCTTAGCAGGCAGCTTGACTGAATGTTTACCTATTTTAATGGCATATGCCGCAATGATGAAGGTTAGAACCCCTTTCACAGTAATCACAATAAGTTGCAAATACATGATAATTATTCTAATCAAGATAGATTATGTTTTTTTTTATGGATTGTTTCAAGAAACTTAAAACAGCCCTTTTCATGGTTGGGAAGATTGGAGGGAATGACTATAACTATGGCTTGTTTCAAGGCAAATCCTTTGATGAAGTTAGATCCCTAATGCCTATGGTTATTCAAGCCATAAAAGACGCTGTAAAAGTAAGTTTCTTTCATGTAACCTTTCTTTCATCAACGTTGGTCGAATTATTTCAATACTGATCACTTTTTTTTTTGTCATAGAGAGTCGTCGGTTATGGTGCTACTCGAGTTGTCGTCCCGGGAAACTTTCCTATAGGTTGTTTGCCAATCTATCTGACAAGATTTCAATCCAATGATTCCACAGCATATGACAAATTTCATTGCCTCAAGGACTTGAACAACTTGTCAATCCATCATAATAACCTTCTCAAAGAGGTTATCGAAGAGCTGAGAAAAGAACTTCCTAATGTGATCATATTATATGGCGACTACTACAATGCATACCTGAAGCTTTTGCTCAAAGTCAAATTACTTGGTAAGATTGTTTGATACTCATAAATGCATGACAATTGCTTCTACTAGAATTGTCCTGATTTAATAATTTATATACTTTTGTTCCAAATATAAACAGGTTTTGACATCAAAGCAACACAAAAAGTCTGTTGTGGGAGAGGAGGTGATTACAATTTTAGCCTCACCAAAATGTGTTGAGCTCCTGGTGTGCCAGTTTGTCCAAGTCCTGATTAATATCTGAGTTGGGATGGAGTTCATTTGACCCAAAAAGCTTACAAATTCATGACAGGATTTCTCATGCACCATAGCTATTGGAGCTCCGGTGTTGTTTTTGAGCTTTTTTTTTAATATTTTTATTAGTGATGTATACAACACATTCAACAAAATTTCCAAATTTCAAGTGAGATAAACACCTTGAAGTCTTAGATAGATGGATTTACTAAGTAGGTTTAGATTTTGACTTTGTCAAATTTCTGTATTCATATATATAGTGATATCGTTTAATTATTTTTCTTTTTACAATTCACTAGTCACTGCTCGGAAGCAATAATAAAAATAGTGTTGGATTAAACCACAAAAGTACAGATCATCAATTTCTTTTATGGGCTTCCCTTCTATCAAAAAAAGAATTATGGGGTTCTCTAAATCAACGTTGGGGCCATGATGCTTATTTTTGGGGTCTGGACCAAGTTTGCTCGAAGGAACGCCGGCAGGGAGCTGAGTGCTGATGCTTCTGCTTCTAGCAACCCTTATCCTTGTTTGGTTGGGCGTTTAGATCTGCATCCACCCCATCTAGCCTTAGATCAACCACTCATAAAATGGGGCTTTTCATGGCCTACATCAACTGCTCAAGTATATTATAATGGATGCTAACAGATTCCCAATAGCAAGAATGCAAGAATTATTAATCAAATGTATAAAAGAAAAAACAAACATGTGAAAAAATTCTCTTAAATTCGGATAATCCTATGAAATGCAAACATTTGAACAGTTCATCATCTGTTTACTGGTTTACTTTTTCAAACATGACACAAAATTCAACAACATAATATTTTTTAACATTATATTATTATTATCATTATCATACATGATTTTGAGATCTTAAGTCAATTCTCGCTCAACATAAAATACCAGTAGCTGCAAGATTAACATCAAAGCGTGAGTGGGTTTGGTGCACATCTTTTTCCTTTTACGGTTCAGTCATAGTCAAGCCCGGAGTGGGAGCCCACATGGCCCAACAGTGACTCGTGACTGAAGAGATTACTCTACCTCTTCCAAATATAAATAATTAAAAAAAGTATTATTGCAAATAATAAAAATTAAATTTTCACAAGTAAATTATAAAATTTTATGTGTTTTTTTTTAGATTTATTTATTATACTTTTTAAAATATATCTTAAAAATATTCATCAATCCTCTAATCTCACCCATAAAACTTAAAAATTGCACAAATAGTGTACTAAAATAAATTTTCAAGTAAATATAAAAAGTAGAAAACGACTGTTCAGCCTTGAACTGGTCAAAGGCTCAAAGCAAAGATAATAAAGAACATAACATGTGAATTTTATCCTTCTAAATCTTTTAGAAGGCCCACATCATTTATCTCAGATACAGACAAAACTCAATGTTGCTGTCCGGCTGAGAACGCAATCCATATGAAATTTAATAATAATATTTTTAAGCCTTAATTGTTATTTTAATAGTAGTTGTTTGCTCAGTTTAATAGTATTAAACCCAAAGAAAATTATAAATAAAAAAACATAGATTCATTTGATTAGTACAAGTATCTTTTACTTTTGTTTTTTCAAAAGTTACCTCGTATTTAAAAAAAAGTAAAAAAAAATTATTTATTTTAGTTTACTAATATGTTACTATTAAAATTATAATTGATCGAATTTAAATTTATATAATACTAAATTTGAGTTTAAATTCGAATCTAAACTTGAAATTTAAAACTCAACTTAAATTCGATCAAATTTTATTTTTTTAGTTCAAACTCAACTCAATATAAAAATTGAGTTATTCGAGTTTACTCATTTAAATTCAATTAACATGTAAAAATAAATTTGATTTTTATATTTGATAAAAGTTTAATTATTTGTCCTCGAATTCAATATATTTATTAATTAAAATAATTAAAATATATTAAAATATAAAAATTAAATTAAATTCACGAATAATTTGAGTTAAGTATAAGTATACTCAAATTCAATTCGATTGTTAAGTCAAATTATTCGAATTTGAGCTTGACTCGATAATAATCGAGCTGAATTCGAATTTTATTCTAATTAAATTCGAATAATTTTGAGTACTAATATATTATTTATACTCTTAATTATAACTTATAAGCATATTTTTTAATATCGAAATAATGCATTTAAAATTTTATTTTCAAAATATTTTTACTAAACTAAAATCTTGATGGATAAAATAATGAAACTTTTTTTCGCGATTATTTCTCTTGTGTGCTAAATTATATATTTTTTCTCTATATCAGTATGCAATGAAGTCTTGTAAATTTTAGTTGCATCTGAAATTTAAAAGTGGGTAAATTGGGTGGCATAAAAGAAGCCTGGCGAAATATGCTTTTGAGTTTTGAAGAAAGAATGCTTAGTGCTTTGCTGCTTGCTACACCGGGACTTGAAACAGCAACATCCTTTAATCAAAACAAGTTAGCTGAGGATGGATTTATGGCCTGCCTTTGCCTCACTAAAGTGCCCCTCATGATAATTGTTTCACAGATTCTTGTCTCCTTTTTTGTGCAAGTTGCTAGCCATATGAAATAAGTGATGCAAACGGGCAAAGGAGAAGCTTCTGATCGAGGTTTGAGTAGTTTTTCAATTGGACTGAAATAGTCACTTGCCCTCTTAGAACTTGTAGGATTCTTCTAAGTTCAATCCATGCAAAATTCAATCAAATTCAATAATTCCATACGCACCAATACCATGCAAGTTTTGGTCATTTTTCTTTAACATGAGTTTCATTTAGCTGGAAAAAATGTGAGGGCGAGGACAGGCAGAGGATATTGCGGTCCGTTTCATATTCATTTTGTTAACGGAACTTTGACCAGATTTCAGAATTCCCAGAACAAAAAGGGCGAGCAATTATATTTTCTTGGATGGAAACACCGAATACCCATTAATCACACAATTAAAGAGCTTTCAAACAACCAATCAAATTCAATTTCTGTTCTCTTTTTTGCCTCCAAGTTCAGTAAGCATCTTCTTTCCCATCCATTATAAACAAAACAAAAAGGTAGAAAGCGTAAGTTGTCGAAACACGGAGATTTGCAAGGAAATGACTCTGTGAAAGTAGTGTCTATCTGCCACTTTGACCGCGCGGTGAGTGAGAGTGAGTGACTCATTACTGAGTTTAAAAATCGGCCTCCAGGAACGCGACAATGAACAACATTATTGACGCCCACTGCCCGCTATCACAATCTATTCAAACACTCACCCAACAAAGATTAGATAAGATCGTAAAGTTAGACAGAGAGATACGCGTGGCTTCTTTTACGGGTCCTGTCTTTTTTTTAAAGCCTCGGAAAACCTGAAAAAAATTGAAGAGAGTTAATTTTTTTGGCCGTTAAAGAGGAAGAGAGATTAGACAGCGCCACAATGGCAAAGACCAAATAGACAGACAGATTCGTTCTTTGCTTGGAAATAAATATTGATAGTTTAAAATATAATATATCTTATTATATTGAATAAAAAAATTATTTATATTATTTAAATAATTAAATAAAATATTAGAGTGAACTAAATGATATAAATTAATTAAAATTTTTTTTAATGAGTCAAATAATTTTAAAAATTAAAAATAAACACTTGAAATACTTACGTTTGATAAATAAATTTAATTTTTAAATTTTTATTATTATTACTTTTTTTATTTATTTCAAAATGTTTTTAATTTAGAATAAATATATTTAAACAGTAAAAAATATAATGATTTAAATAAATATATTTAAACAAAAATATAATTATTTAATCAAATTTATTTAAATAATAAAATATAATTATATAAAATATTATAATTTTTTAAATTAATTTGATTAATGATTATTTATTTATTATAAATAAATTTTTTTATCTAATTAATTTCATTACTTTTAATTTAAAAAAATTTAAAATTTTATTATATCTTGTAAATATAATTATTTTTAAAACAATACTCTTCAACCCTCAAAATCATACTTTCTTCTTTTTTTTACTATTTCTGTTCTCTTAAATTTTCTATCAATAGAAGTCTTCAAGACCCATCATCTTTTCTACTCCCGTGGAAGAAAACCCTCCTCTCCACTCTCTCTCCATCGCTTTCTCTTTCTTTTGTTTTGTCGCTACTCGCCGACCCCGTTAAGTCTGCATAAAGGAAGATTAGCGCACCAGAAAAAAAAAATCCAAAGCAATAGCCGCTGCTAGATCACAGACATTTGGTTTTTAGCTTACAGAAACAAAAAGATCGTTATAGATCTAGAGAGAGATAGAGAAGGGTAGGGAATTTTTTTTTGGGCTAAAAATGGATAAAAGCTGTCACTCTTCTGGTGACTCTATCGCCAATACCAGTTGCTCCGATGCCAACAACATTAACAATCGAGATTATTACCTTAAACACCTCAACAAGCTTTCCCATAAGATTTCCAAGCCCTCCTCGACCACCACCACCACCAACGTCCCTCCGTTCGTCCAAAAACCTTCCTTTGACCAGACTCAGAACCTCAACCAGGCGCTTCCACCTCAACCTTACCAGCCTCAGAATTCTAACCAAAGCAGTCTCCAGGCTCAACAACACCAGCCACCCGTTTACAACATCAAGAAAAGCGACTTCAGGGATGTCGTACAGAAGCTAACTGGTTCACCGGCTCACGAGCGGTTTTCTACTCCTCCACCAATCCACCACCCCAAACAGCAAAGCTCTCGACTCCAGAGGATCCGGCCTCCTCCATTGGCGCACGTTAGCAATCGCCCTCCTTCCATGATTAATTGCGCCTTCCCGGACATGAACCCTTCCGGATGCTCTCAACCTAACCCTCCTAGCGGTGGCCCCACTGGTAATAGCTTCATTCAAAGGCCACCTGCTGCGGCACCTCTGTCACCTCTCCCGCCGTTTCCTGCTGTACACGCGGCGGCCGAATCTCCGATCTCTGCTTATATGCGATACCTACAAAGCTCTATGTCCGCTACTGCTGATTCCAATCCAAAGCAATTCTCAGGATTCCCACCATTGGCCCCACTGGTTTCACCCCGTTGGAACAACTTGACCGCCCCACAACAACAGCATCAACCACAGGTGCTACCGCCGCAGCAACCACAGCAACAACAACAACAACCGCCACAGATATCATCAACGGGGATGATCCAGCCACAGTTACCGTCATCACCACTACCATTCGGGTGCCTGAATTCTCCACGGTCACCATATGCTTTACTTTCCCCAAGTTTGCTATTTTCTCCAAATCCGGGTCAGTTAGGATTGCCGCTTTCACCAACGCTGCCTGTGCCGAGCCCAAAATGGCGAGGTCTTTGATAATTCTAATCTGAGGCAAGTCTTCAAAAGGAGAAAAATTGTGGCGTCAGGGTTTTTGTACATGGTTAGCGTTGGCGGAGAATTTTATTCAATTACCAGTGGTCGGATAAAGAAAAAAATTTTGACTCGCCCCGGTCATTTAGAAGTTAGAAGCTTGTTTTTTTTTTTTTTTTTCGTCGTTATGTAAAAACAGAAACTTTAAATTATGTTCTTTTTGTTGAAAATTGGGTGGAGAAAAAACAGTTCAAAAGTTAGTAGTATCATATAAGATTTGTTCTTGCTATATTTATGATGTTTATGTTTGTATCTGCTAATCATATTTTAGCCATTTGTGGATATAAAGTATCTATTTTTTGGCAATAATTGGATAAGTTGTTGCTTGTTATTTATTGTCAGACGTGGATTTCTTCATAGATTTTAAGTAGGTTAAATCAGTTTTTCTTGTCAATTGTAGGGATTGAGCATTGGCTATGATCCCAGCGTATCAAATTCTGAATGGTTAGCTTAGTTGAATAGAAATTAATTTAACTCGGATTAATTTATACAATCATATTAAGAGGTGGCATAATCTCTTCGTCTTACTTTAAAAAAAAAAAAATGAATGGTTCAGTGAAGTGGTTTATTTGATCATTAGGATTTATGACATGTACCCGTTGAGAATGCTCGCATTGCAGGAAGTAACTGAAATTAGAAACATTTTCCTGACTAATAAGATCTGCAGCAGGAGTTTGATGTTGTAAGTTGTAACCAAAACTTTGCATTGTATACCAGCCTACTTTGGATACCTCTGAGTAGATGTTTACTAGCTAATGACATATTACTTTGTAGAGGCTATCTTTAAATTTAAAGCTAGTCTTTTCGTGACCAAATCACCCAACTACTCTCGGGGTTTTGAATTGACCTCTTCCACAACAGATAGGGAAAAAAATTGCATAGTATTAGACTATTAATAGTAGTAAATAGTAACGGTATGGAAAAATCATCTAAAGCTGCATTAATACATCCATTAAATGAATGTTCACTTATCTAGAAACTATATAAATGATTTGGAGCGCGAAGGAAGCTAAAGTGACTAAAATGGTTTGCTTTGTAGATGAATGATGGTGGATTTAGACCAATTGGTATTTCCTGTGAGGCTGAAAAAAAAATTATTATCTCTTGGAAAGGAAACGAGCTGAACTTTTAGCCTATCAAAAAAAGTGGGCCCATAATTATGAGCCAGGCGGCCGCCCTTCAGCCCAGAAGACTAGTCAGTCCAAAGAAAGCAGGCCCAGTAGCTTCTAAAATTTACCCCGACAGCTGTCCAAAATAGTAAACGGAATGTAATACGTGGCGGATGCTGCGTGGAGTCAATACCTCTTTAACTCTCTTTTTACAGTCGCAGTAAAATAGTTAAACGACTGAAATCTTAACCTAACTAACATCTCTCGTCTTGGCCATATTTTCATATTTTGGCCGTTCTCTAGAAGTCTTCAGTCGCCAGTAGCTGATAAAAAATTAAAAACCGATCACCTCCTCTTCCGGCAATGGCGGAAGCTCAAACCGAAAAGCGTCCTTCCCTATCTGAGGTGCGCTTTTTACTCTATCTCTGATTCAAATTTTATTTTCATTTCTTTGAAAGCAATAACGTAGGTTTTTTGAATCCTTGTAGAAATGACGTAGTTTGATCTTCTTTGGTTTTGTTGTTTTTTCAATTTTTGGATCTTCAATTTTGGTTTTTAGAATTTTGTTTAATTGGATTGAAATGAGCCGATCTGACCAAGTAATGCTGGATATTGTTGTTGAAATTAGAATTATTCGGTGGCTACAGCGTCTCAGCTTTTTGAAGTTTTGAGATTTTTGTTTTGATTAGATTTTGATTGTCCATGTTGGTTATCAAGTATAATTAAGTCCAATTTTGTTCAGCATCATCATGAATATGTTAGTAACGTAATTTGTTGTAACTTTTTTCTTTCTATATTGACTCGTTGAAGTTATTCTATGATCTGCCTTATGATTCTACGAATCTGAATTTTCTGTGCACAATATTTTTGCTTGTTGAGGGGCTTCATTCGTGTGACGGTCAATGGAATGTAACGTTTTGAGCAAAAGTTCATTGTGTTTTTTACTAGTTGTGGTGCTTAATCAAATAACTAATACTAAAATATGGTTCAAATGAAATTTCTGAGCAAAATTTTTGGTGGCTTAAGCATACAAAGCTTTTGAGTAGGAGTGGGTTATAGTTTTCACTGGTCATGTAGTCATGCCAATACATATAGTACTTTTGCATGAACATTGTAGTTTAGGAACTAAAAGTAAATTCGCTTTTGTGTATTTTGTGTGAACAATTATGTTCATCAGTTTTTTTGAATGATGAATTGGGCTTTCTATCATCTTCTTTCAAGCTTGTTGTTAGTTCTTCCTTCTTGAACTTCCCATTCATGCTTAAATTTGGCTAAGATGCAACCGTGTTTGCAAAATTTTGGCGTTGGTAACTTAAATGAAATACCTACTTCTTATTCTTGTAAATCCTTTTGTGTAGCTGAGCTGTTACTAATTCCTCTAATTCTGTGTTTTTTACCTGTTTATGCTGGAAAGTTATTTATTTTTCCTTGAATTTTTGGACATGTAGCAATATTTGCTGAAGGAGAAAGAGGAGAAATCAGATGTGGCTACAAAAGCAGCAGATGCAAAAGATGTCGAAAATCCAGTGAATGCTTCTTCTGGAGAAGTTTTCATTGAGAAAGTGGAGACTCCTGCTGCTTCAGTTGAGGAAAGCACTGAGGCTCCTCCTGCTCCAGTTGAGGAAAGCACTGAGGCTCCTCCCCCTGCTGCTGCTGAGGAAAGCACTGAAGCCAATACTACTGCTGAGAACAGTGCTGAGGATGCTTCAGCTGCTGCCGAGGAAAGTACTGAACCTACTTCAGAGGAGAACTCAGGTGATGCGGAAGAAACACCAGAGATAAAGGTTGCCCTGCTGAACATGTTTATTAAGAACTTTATTTTTGCTGACTCCAGATTTCTTTGTGTGTTTATGAAACTCATCTTTGCACATTAGATTGCTTCATTAACATACTGTGATGCATGCTTGGTTTTCAGCTTGAGACTGCTCCAGCAGATTTCCGCTTCCCAACTACAAACCAAACAAGGCATTGCTTCACCCGATATATTGAGTACCATCGGTGAGTTAAACTTTGTTTATGAATTATTTTGTATCTTATAAAGGTATAATGCTTTGTTTCTTCTTGAAATGCTTCTTGACATGTCTTTTATCTTTTTCTCTTATATAGTTGTGTAGCTGCAAAAGGAGAAGGTGCTTCAGAGTGTGATAAGTTTGCCAAGTATTACCGTGCCCTTTGTCCTGGAGAATGGGTGTGTATTTTCTCCTAAGAACTATAATACATTTATCTTCATCGTAATCAGTTGCATAATGGTTTTAACTATTATTGGATGGCTGCTGTCTGCTGCCATGTATGCCTATATCAAGGAATGCCTTATGGCCCCACATCTTTTTGTGAGACTAGTTGCTAAACTAAACTCTAAAACGTGAATATTTGTTAGAGATGACCTAATGTTGAAGGGCTGTCAAATATAAATGTCAAATAGGTGTTGAGTGAATTAGTTGAAATATTTTTTTTTGTATATTTTGATGAATTGAAATGCCAGAAAATCCATATGGACGGCATGAAGAGATGCCCCTTATGTAAAACCATTTTGGAAATCTGCCCACTTGCCTTGTTGTGGGTTAGGCTTGAGAAAGATTGTTTTAGGGTTTGTATTTGGAGAAAAGAGAATAGATTAGGGTTAATTTCTTGGATACGGAAGTAACATGTGTAGGCATAGATCTATTTGGCTTGCCAGCAGAGAACATGTTGAAGGACATTCCTTTTATCAAGAAGTTTAGGGTTTAATGGGCAAAATAAGGGGGATTAATTGTTAGAATTTTGGTTTGAAGTTTTTGAAAGAATTAGGTTGAGAGGATTTTATGAAGGGAATTAGATTTTGATTTTGGATTGCATCAATGCATTAGGATCCTAATCAGTCTTTATTGTTTGTGAAGTTCTACTAAGATACAGTGATTACTTAGGAAGCTAAGTAATAAATGCATAATCATATATTTATATTGAGAGGAAACATCTGACTGTTAAAAGCTACCATTGAACCCTTAGCTCAACTAAATTACCCTAAAAATAGACCTAACTTGCAGATTGCTGGAAATGATGGATTTTTCCGTGAACAAAAGATTTCCTAAATTTCAAATTTTAGGTGACACAGGAAAAGAGAAGTCTGTTCTACAATAGCTCCAATTAGTCTAAAAATATGATATAGTTAAATTTTGAACCAGTTTTTGAACCAAATCTTTTAATCTTATAATTGATTCCTGGGTTGGACTAAAATTACCGAATTAGAGAAGATTAAATCCGATTCCATCATGTCCTTGGATGGCACATTGTCAATTGATCTGGAGATTTTTGCGGAAACCTAACACAAAGAAAAATCAAAATAGAAGGCAGCCCAAAACAAAGAGGCAGTAATGAAAATGTTTAGTTTTGCTTGCTCAATTCAATTTTTTGAAAGGTGTTTACAAGAGTTAATTGGCGGTTTGGTTCCCATATTTTTTTGCATATTTTAAGTTATGGGGAAATGTTATGCTTTGATCAATCCATTCTTCCTGCCCCATTTTAAACTATTTGAATGAGTATATAACGTTATGGTTGTTGCGGGTAGTTAAGAAAGAAGATGCCTGTTTGTTAGTAGGCTGATTGTATTAGCATTTTGTCTATCTTAATATATTAGAAGAATTTCATCCTTAATCAAAGTTTGATTAATTTGTTTTTTCACCATTTATGAATCAATGTTGATATTTAATGTTGCTCTTTACACTTAACAATTACTCTTATGTTTCTCAGATAGACCGATGGAATGAGCAAAGGGAGAATGGTACTTTTCCAGGTCCTCTGTAGATGGTACCTGTCAGTAAAATCTTCTTGTGGTTTTCTTCTATTATAACAACTGTTAACCACAGTGAATTTCTCGAATGAAAAGAGAATTTGAAAGGATGAGGTAATAAGAAATTTTTCCATCTGCCCGTAGACTAAGATCAAGGATGATACAATGTGTTGCTCATAAAAGGAAGTTATTACTCATCGGTACCATGATGAAACTGTTTTTCCTTTCTATTTTTATTTTTTTTCTGCTGCAACTATCATGCAGTTGCAGGCTATTGAGGTAAAGTATACTATATGATAACAAGTACATGTAACTTTGTTATTTACAATGTCCAAGCATTCCTAGTGTCGTGCGGGGGAATGTTGTACCTGTATGTGTGGTCGCAATCTGTGTTAAAGACCTTAGGAAAGATATCAGCTACAAGTTAAATGGTGTAGTTGAAAGGGTAGAGACCCTCATTGCCTCCATGTTCCCAAATTTTCAACAGTAAAATATATTTTTTTCGTCTTTGCGATTTGAGTTCGACACAAGAGAGAGAGAGAGGATATGTTAATGCATGGGGTATTCGGAATTCCTATATGATGTGTCTTTAATTCTTGATTTTTATTGTGTGTGGACCCTGTTCTTGAGTTTTCTAGTAACTATCCAGTCACGGACCCAATTACTAGTAGCTAAAGCCACACAAATCACAAATTAGAAACAAATCTGTATCCGCCTTGGGCTCTACCCTCTGACCAGATCCGTATCCTTCAGGATCTTCGGTTTGGAGAATAGACAATTCCACCCCGGAGGGCCAGGGCTAGCTCATTTCTCCCGTCTTCATCACTCAAATGACAATTGTCAGAATTCATTTGCAAAAAGAGAACAAAATTAATATGCTTTCACTATCATGGCCAAAACAATTCCCAAATGAAAAATCAACAGATGGATGAGAGCACGGTATTATTTCTCGAAGCATTGGTACCCAATGAATCGCCTATGGCACTGCAGAAACTTAGACAACTTCCCCAGAGCATGTGAATTTCCTGGCGTCGATTTTATCCTATGCTCTATACGTGGCCATACACCCCCTAAAATCCATTGTCGTACCCGTCCAAGTATTGAATTGGAATCAATTTCCTGAAACTCAAGACATGCACACTCCGCGTCCCCATTCTTTGTAGTGGCATTGCTAGCTTTAAGATCTTCAATTGATGGATAGCATGCTATATCCACTAAACAACCAAGTAGGGGATCTTCAATAAAAGCAATTGCTCTATAGCATCTGATCTATCTGATTCTAATAGATGCATTTACGGTCTGTGATACCCTTCTGCACAAACAATCCGGTAATGGATTTACATAAAATGATTCTTCAGAACGAAACCTATCCATGCCTTTTGTTCCTGAGACAGGGCCTCTTCTCCTCCTTGGGGACCCTTGCCTGTACAATCCATGAAAGAATCCATAAGTTAAGAGGAGCTTGAATATTACATACATATCGATATTATATCTGTTATAAGTGCAGCAGAACGATGATAATGGAGTCCCCTCCTTCCACAGGCCATGATCTGCAGCATATAATGATTAAAGACAAGAACCACATACAGTTTTTTGTGGATGTCAATGATCCGATTTGAAACCTTTCTGCCTTCCTCTAATAACCCCTTCTCAATTTTGTCAAATAGACGGATGAGCCCCTTCCTAAAGGAGAGAGTACAGAAACAACTTCAGTACACCATGAAAGATTAGAAAATGAATATAGATGCACAACTTAAAATGAGTTGAGTTTTAGAAAATAAACTGACTCACCTGTCAGGAGAAATAGTTTTCCTATGTCCCAGAAAACGACGATGCCCTTCAACTGCTCTTGCCATGTTTCCAGAGTACGATGGAATGAAGACATCACTTTCAACAGATACAATATAATCAAGTGCAGCCATTTGAGATGCATGATTGGTGAATGGTTCAAGCTCCTCAACAGAAGCCAATTTTTCCTTCAAAATATCACAAGATATAAGACTAATTCTAACTCCATGTTCGTCCTTATTCTGTAACATTCAACATTATTATATCCTTTTAACTAAATTTTATAGAGAGATGGTGAGTGTCCGAGTATTTGGGCCTACTTGTGCATGTATGTACATTTTTATTCATATGCACACATGAGAGAGAGAGAGAGAGAGAGAGAGAGAGAGAGAGAGAGAACAGTGCAAAACATTGCAATGATTATCCATATAGTAATTAAAATGGTACCCAATGGTCAAAGATCTCGCAGACAATGTTAACTGCTTTCTTCATTAGTCCATTGCTAATTTTAGAGAATAAAAAGGCACAATCCATCACAAGGGAGAAATAAACATGATATGTGCATTAGAAATTTTGAATGATAATTACTTTAATAATGTATGAACTGGATTGACAAACCACTATAAAGTTCACAAACAGTTAGTCTCACCATATATTATATTGGATATATCAATGTGCATTATAATTGCAATAAAGCAAGGCTGACTATGACTGAATTTCCATGAATATTAAGTTCCATATGTTCAAAATCTTGTTTCACCATTGGCCTTGTGAAAAATGTTTCCCAAATAAACAGCGGCAGAATAATCAGTTGTATAAAGGAGCACCAAGCAAAGCAATGAAATGACTCCCTACCTTGCTCATTAACATGGGATAACGAGACCGTAGATCAGCCATATGAGTATCACCCCCATATGTCTCTCCAGCAGCAATGTATATTGGAGTGTTCGATGGGAAACCAAAAGCAGTGAGAAAAATTCCGACCTCTTTTGGAGTTAACGGGCAATATCCTTTGGATCTCTGTTCCCTGGCATCAATGTCCTTGATTTTCCAATAGGCAGTGTTTTCTCTGCACATTCAGAAAGAAAGTGGTATAACAAAGAGTTGGTCTCTTATCCAACTTGGTGACATTTCTATTTTTTCTCTATCATACTGTGTACATTAAAAAACAATATTCTCCCACTTTATCTTTCCACTTTCTTTCATCTTCCTCTGGATACATATAGTAAGCTAGGTAACTGTTGTACCTGATTGTCTTTAGCTCTTCAGTTTCAACATTAGATAAACCATGTGTGCATCCGCTAAAGGCAAGCATGTCTTTCTCATATCGTAAATGCAATGAGATGAAAGGACCATAAGCCCTCATTCGATCCACCAACAACTGCGATATTGACAACTTAATAAGTATGATGAATATAGAAAAGCATACAAAAGACTCTAAGAAGTAAATTGATATCAGGTCAAACTAATTACTTTCCCCATTGCTTCAATTTGGGGTGCAAAACGAAGTGCTTCATAGCAAGCACGACAACGGAGCTTTTGTATATCTGGAGGCAGATTGTTATTTGCTAGGCGAGAATCAGATTTAGCAGCCCTAATAACCTGGTAAAAAATGGGGGAAATGAGCATTTGAGAGAGTACTTCCATCAGGAAAATAAAATAAACAGGTTAGCATAATCAATTAATCACAATAAAGACAAACCTGATATTCTTCCCACAGGCTAGCTATCTCATCCTGGTAGTACTCCAAACCAGACCAGCTTTTAAAATGCTTAACAACTTTGGTAGCAGAAAACAATTCCTTAGGAAGTTTTTTTATGACTTTAACATCATTAGCTAAAGCATTAATAAAATGGTCCTCATCAAAAACATCAGAGAAATTGCTGCAAGTCAAGAAAGAAGCAAAAATAATATTAGTCACAAGGAAACTCAGTCAGAGATAGAAAATAGTACAGTCATAATACTTTTGCAGAGGATATGACTTGCAGAAGAAAGGCTACCTAGTATCTTGCCAAAATGATCGCTTATCAAGTTCTGGAACTACAAGAGTGGCATTTATTATACGGGCTACAGCAACCATGTCACACATCTACAATTCAAGAATGAGACTCCGGTCAGCAAAATGATCAAGAAAAACTAATAGTCATATTGGAGTAAATATTACAACGGCTGTAATACCAATATCTTAATCAGTAAACTTAACACATGTAATATTTTAATCTTTTAGTATCATCCCATAGCTACTGGAGATGTAATTAATATTGTGTGGACAATCATGTATGTATCTATTGGAGGGTAGATGTCTTAATGTCTCTTTCTCTATCAGGAAACATGGCGGGTGAAGGTATACATCAAATTCAAAGGTATTTGAATTTTTTAAACCATTGTGGAGTTGTATGAGAATTGGACATCAGTCAACATACAAAAGAAGGAAGAAAACTTCAAAATCCCATCATAGAAAGCGGAAACCATGTAAGATCAGGCTTATAGCAAGAAGTAGTGAACAAACATGCAAGTAGTGTAGTTCCAAAAGTTCGATAGAAGACTACTGTCTCTTTCAATCAAGTAATAACAAGTTTCATGTTACCCAACCATGGACACCCAAATATAACAGATATAGCCGGCAATAATATTAGCAAACTAGAATTCAACCACAAAAAGAAAGAAGATACCGACCCCAGCTCGCATTTGGTTGAGCCCGCCATTTGTATGAACTAGAAGGTAACCTCTTGACTCATCAGGAGCTGAACAAACAATGAAGGCCAAATTTACAGGTATTCAGTGGACACTTTGAAAGAAAATTTTCAAAATTAACAACTTCCTTACCTATATAATTAGAACTAGGCTGTACGCAGGGCACAAAATCACGATTTGCAGGCGGCTTCCACAACTTCTCGAAATCCAGATTTCCACTGGCACCAACCAACTGTCAAATCTAAAGGAGTGAAAACATGAAAGATGCATGACTACTTTGCATCAAGATATGTACCTACCTACATGACTTGAACGACAATCCTCACCACAACAACAAGAAGAAGATAACAAGAAAAATAGATGGTAAACAAATCGAACACCCTCTCAAAAGGGATTAAGTAGAATTTTACAACAACCACTTGACTTTCTCCAGAAATGGCTTAAAGAAAACAAGCAGTCACGATGTGTAGGAATATAATCCGAGAATAACATTTGTTTTCCTTTTTTTGGGGTTTTCTTACTGTTACAATTTCTGAGCAACCAAACAGATTATTCAATAAACGAAGAGAAACACAAAAACCTTGTGAGAGGAAATAGGAGCTCTGGAAAGATGCGGCGGAGCCTGCTCTTTCGATAAATGAGGCGGAGCCAGCTCCTGCGTCCACCTTTTCTCTGTACTTAACTTCTGGTAATTAAATTCATGTTGCTACAAAAATGGAAAAAAAAATCAAAATGCAAATCAAAGGAAAATAAATAAATAATTCAAAAAAAAAGAAAAACAAAATTCCAAATAATTATGCCTAACCAAAAAAAAAAAAAAAAGATAAGGCCAAATTTTCAGAAATTAAAAATTACAGGAACAAATCAAGCGGAAATTTTATTTTATGGAAAGCAAAACAAGTAAGGCAATGGAAGAACATGGAAGCTAAGAGAGGCAGATGAAGAAAAAATCAAAAAAAAAAAAAACCTAAATAAAAAGAGAGATATACTTGGGTGACCGTAGGGAGCTTGTAAGGATCAGATAAGTCGGACACTCTGGAAGAAGGAAACACGTGTACGTGGCCGGAGAGCAGTCCCACCAACGCTATTGTGCATATGGCGCACGTTAGCATCTTCCGCAGGAGCACCACTACCACCCTCCGCCTCCGCCACCTCATCTTTTTCTCTCTCCGAAAGAATGACAAAGAAAAAAGAGCACCGTTTCCTTATTTTTCTAAAACGGAACGGCCGAGAAACAATGTCGGCCCACCGCCATTATAATGAAGCGATCGAAGAGAATCAAAACCTCAACTCTCGCTCTTTTTTCCGTTTCCTTTGTCTCTGCGTTAGCGAGAGAAAGCTAAAGCGGAATTGCAGCTGCTCTGCTGAGCTTTTGGTCGGTTTATAAATAAGAATTTTTAGTTCGTAGATTAGAGGATTAAATATAATAAAAATAAATTAAATTTGATTAAGAAAGGAATGAAAATGGAAATACCTGGGTAAATAAGCTTATCAAACTCTTAAAAAATATACAATTAGTAGCTAAACCGGATACGCTTCGTGGGGTCCGGCGGCCACAAAAGTTCGTACTAAAAATTGGTAGATTTATATTTGATTTTGTTTATAAAATTAAAAATTCTAAATTCTTTTGATAATATTAAATAATTTTTTATAATTAATTCTAAGATATTTTAATTTATAAAAGAAATGGTAGTGCAATTCTTTATGTTCCAATTAGCTTTCAGGCTTTGTTCAAGATAATAAAGAGGCTGTTGTCAAAATAAATTTTTATATGCATAGAATTTATGATCACGTAATAGAAAAATATTTAAATTAGTGACGTAACTTTGACTTTTTCTTTCCATTCATTTTTCACCCACGTTTACATCTGAAATCAAAGCAACAAAACTCTGCACAAAAGAGAAGACCGGGAACGGACGGTGTGGATCTCAAGAAAAGCTGCATTGATTGAAATGGTAGGGAACCATGTGCCCAAAATTAAAAGATTTGTGAGAGAAGTAAACTGTTCAAGTGCGAACTTCACTCCCATTACTTAAATGAAAAAAAGTTCGTAGCTTTGTAAGTTAGAAAATATTCAATCAGTTAATTTGTTGGGTTGGACAATGATTGAGTTTTTTATAAAAGATATTATAATTTGAAAATAAAAATTTATTAATATTAAAATTTAAAATTATTGAATTTTTTTTTAAAGTAATTAGCCTAAAAATATTTATTAAAAAAAATTGTGGGTCAAAAGAAATTAGACAGTAGGGGCAGACAGAGGGATAAGTGTCACGGGAAAAAGGTTAGGGAATATCCAGGTTTAAACAATATACCTGGAGAATTCTATAAGAAAAACTTGTTCACGATAAGTACAAGAACGAAATGAATCTAAGTACGTTGTCGTTATGGGGGAGGTCCGACGAGTTTGTGGACGGGAGATTAAAATTCAGAAGACAAGAATAAATAGAGCATGGCGGATTCAGGCTTTTAGCCTATTAGGTCGGTTTTTTCGGCTTTCGAAAAGGGATGACAGCCCAATCTATTTTCAACAGTTTCAATTCAGTTTAACATTTTAAGATCGGATTTTTTTAAAAATAAAATATCAAATTAAATTGAAAAATTAATAAGTAAATTAAGATCAGATTTTAGATAAATCAATTTTGATTATATAAAATTATTTTTAATTATTTATTTAATTTTATATATTTATATATTTATTTAATTTTATATTTATATTTAAAAATAATATTTTATTAATTTAATTTTATTAAATTATATATAATTTTATATATTATTATATTAAATATCATTTAAATATTAAAAAATAAAAAATTATTAAATTAAATTTAAAAATCATATATATATATAATAAAATCAAATTATATTCGAAACCAATAAAAATCCATCTCAATCTTATCCCTTCACATTCCTACTTTCAAACAAGTTGCTTTGAAAGTCCCGTGACACATCCTCTGACATTTTGTTCACTTTGTTAACCGCTGGGACCTTGGCAGGCCTCAGCTCAGGCCTCATCTCATGCCAACTTATCCCCAGCTCACCATCAATTTCTATCATAATGTGACGACAAAAAAGAAACCGCGCAAAATAGTAGTGAAGATTTTAGATTTAATGATTAAATTTTATATTTTTTTATTATATCATTGCACTGTATTTTAAATTATTAAAATTTATTTATTTTAAGGGTTACGTTGGAGCTGCCTGCTGATTCAGACTTTTCAAGGCTGTACAACGGCAGAAACGGGTAATCGTGTAAGTCTCATCCAAATGCGCAAGACTCAACCACGAATTTGAGAGCAAAACCTAACCATGTTTATACAGATATAGATATAAATTTCATGAAAAATTTATTCCTTAGCAAAATATAACATATTATTAAGCAAAACAAACCCAATTCGATCATCTTTATTAATTGTCTCCAATAAATTCAACAGTAAAAATTAGATATTTTAATTTGAAAATTACAAATTTGAATTTTAAAATACAAATAGTTTGCATTTACAAAATGATAGACTATTATCTTTTATAATGTAACTCGAGATTATATGCATAAAACAAAGATTATAATACTTATTATTCGTTAAAACCTTAATATCTCATTAGCATTTAAAAGTTAGGTATAGATTCGCTTTAAAGCACTTAATTTGGGTAATGCTTATTGCTTGTTTAGTTATAGTAATCGCAATCAACAAAATGACTAGAATATTTGATAGTGCTACCATTAGCCAATATATCTATATATCTATTTTTATATTTTAAATTATTAAAATTCTATTTTTGAACATTGAAATTAATATTTTAGTATAACTGTTAATTTTTAGGTAGATGTGGCGTAACAATCATTAGCAATTAGGATCTAAGCTCGATTAGGACAAATCCATTGATTTAGGCTCCTATCTTTTAAATTAATTGCAACATAATAACATATTGTGTGTTCTAAATTTATTTTTTGAAATGTTCTAAAATTATGTTTTCTTTTTTACATTAATTTTTTATTTTTATGATTTTTTTTATTTTTTAACATTAAAAATTAAAAATATTTATTTTATAATAAAATAAATTTTAATATTAAATATATTAAAATTTAATTTTTAAAATTCATAAAATGTAATACATAAAAAATATTTTATAATAGAGGGAGTAATAGCGATTAACTTTTAGTGTAAAAAACATATATCAATAAATAAAGAGTTTTAAAATCATAATTTTTTTCTTAAAAGTATACTAACAGAATATATACGAACATTTCTCCTATTATTAAATTAAAATATCTTTTATGCAAAAAAAAAAAAAAAAAAGCTTGATGTTAATTTTCCTCTTACCATAAACGAAGAGTTATTGTTACCCTTTTCTAAAAATGCAAGTATGCAACTACAAAATTTTTCTCTATTCTTTTTATAAGTGGTCAATTTTCAATTTTAAAACCTAAAATTATATATTTCAATTGTAAGTTGTAAGCCCAAAACGTTATTTCCTCTATCACATTTTCTTTATTCACTTGTTTTTATATTCCAAAATTATTTTTTAAATATTTAAAATTTTATTTTATATTTCAAAATTATTTTTTATGATTTTTTATTTTTTTAACATAGAAATTTTTAATTTTAATATTAAATAGGTTAAAATCAAAATTTTTTTCTTAAACTTTGTAAAACTTAATACAAACAAATAAAAATGCAAGTATGCAACTATAAAATTTTTCTCTATTCTTTTTATAAGTGGTCAATTTTCAATTTTAAAACCTAAAATTATATATTTCAATTGTAAGTTGTAAGCCCAAAACGTTATTTCCTCTATCACATTTTCTTTATTCACTTGTTTTTATATTCCAAAATTATTTTTTAAAATATTTAAAATTTTATTTTATATTTAAAAATTATTTGTTTATGATTTTTTATTTTTTTAACATAAAAATTTTTAATTTTAATATTAAATAGGTTAAAATCAAAATTTTTTTCTTAAACTTTGTAAAACTTAATACAAACAAATAAATAAAAATGGAGGGAGTATAAAAATTGCTTCAAAAAATCTGATTTTATGAACTTTGCTTTCTAAATTCTATCTTTTTTCTTAAAGAAATGAGAAATATTCAAAACTTTGGCTCCTATAATAAGATTAAATATTGTTTACACAAGAAATTATATCATTTTTTTATTTAATTGTGCTGGCTACAAAATTAACAACATTTTTAACAAAAAGCTTCTTTACTTATTCCTTTACTAATTAATTTGTAATTTTCTTTTTTCAAGAGTTATTATTATTATTATTATTATTATTTTGGGCAGAGCCAATAAATAATTTGGAATATTCGCTTTTGACGTGTTAATTAGGTAAGGCATCACACCACAAAAGTAAGCTACGTGGCAATCACTTTGTGAACTACCGAATAAGTGGATTCTTTAATTTATGTCAAATTGTGAAAGATAATTTAGTGTATTTGAAAGCAGTTATTCTATTTCAGAGTGTTATAGTAAGTAATACGTGGCAGCTGATCCTTGCAGGTTTTAATAATCATAATCATGATGATTACGGTAAAAGTGGGTCCGGTACCCTTTCACGCTTTGTTTTTTTAAAAACACAATGTCATTGAATATAATTCAATAATAATTTAAATTTTTAATATTTTAATATAATTAATTAATTTTTTATTTTTTATTTCAAATCAACTAAATTTTTAATGAATAAAATCTAATCATATAAAAAAATTAAATTAAATAATTTTAAAATTACAATCAATTATAATTTTAAAAAAATATTTTTAAAATGGGAAAAAAATAAAGTAGAAAATTTTTTTTATTTTATTTACTTGACATAAAACTTTATCTTGATAAAAAATAAACACTGTTAATATTTTTATTTAAATAAAATTTAATTAAATATTAAATGTATTGATTGATTGTAATAAAAAATATTTTTTATTATAATTAAAATTTTTTTATATCCTATAGACTTTTTTTTAATCAATATTATCAAATCCAGGAAGCAGTCGCTCGCCGTTGAGAAAAGAACAGAGGCACATGCAAAAGCAGAAACTCCTCATATTCAAAGCCAAAACTGTACGGACTTTGTTGGGTAGTTTAATTTATTTAAGTATTTATTTAAAACTTAAAAAGCATTATTAATTAGCATCCAAGGCACAGCGGAAACTGATCTCAGTTTTAACAGGTGTCAATAGATCGATTGGTGGCTTAGATGGATGGATGCCCTATAACTGCCGATTAGTTGGAATTCTTGGTGATTGACAGTGTGATCGATTTGATGAGATGTGTCAACAACAGCAACCAAAGAGCATCAACAGTTCAGTACGACTTGCAAAATCCAAGTTCATGGCTCATGTAATGCGCACGATTAGTCTAGCCTAGGGGTCACCTTCTGTTTTTCACGTATGTTCCTTTAATTTCCTATATATAGAAAACAAAAGGTCGGATCCCATCTCTGAATAGGGGAATGTGGTATGCTAGGGGGGCCAAGCAAAGCTATTGAATATACAATAAATTAGACAATAAAGTCTTGAACCTTATCAATTATGAGGGGATAAGGTTGGAAAAAATAATAATTAAATTAATTAATTTTTATTTAATAAATAACTAATTAATTAAAATTTTTAAATAATTAATATAATCGAATCGATTAAAATTGATTTGATTTGATTAAATAATTAAATTTTTTATTATTTTTTATTTTTATTATAAACAATTATTTAATTATAAATTTAATTCAATGAAACTTAAATTCAAGTATAATTCAAATTAAATTATTAAAAAATTTAATAATTTTTATAATATTTTACAAAAAAAAAAAAAAATACTCATATCAATTTTGTACCTTTATTTATTAAAAATTGATTAATTCAATTAATTTAATTATCAATTTTAAAAATTAAAAATTAATCAATTTAATAAATTTAATCGATTTATAAAATTAATTATAATCAAAATCAAATAAATTAAAATGAATCAATCGAATTTACTCAATTTAAGGTGGTTAATAAGTTCCAACCGACTTTTTACCATTCTTATCTATTACATAAATTTCAGCAAATGAAGAACACTTGTCTAGTAAGGTGAGACCTAAAAAAAAGGCCAACTAGTCAACTATTGTAGATGTAAGTTAGGGGTTGTTGGAATTTGGAAGTATTAGAACCATTTGCTCTTTTAGTGGGAAGAAAATTGACCTGTTAAACACCTAAATAATTGGAAATTACACTAAGGTTCAAACCCACTTTCTTTCGCATATTTAAATCATTGGTGGGATGTCTTGAGTGTAGCAAATTACCTCATCTCCCTCAGCTCAACCAACTTTGATCACACAATAAACAAATATTAAAAAGAAAATGCATTTCCATTGAAGTGAAATTGAATTGAAAGGAAAGGACTAGGGATGGAACGTTATTTTTTTGGTGGCGGCTTTTAGTTTTTGGCCAGAGGGAACCTGGCAGTGGAAAGTAAGGGTGTGGGTTAGTATCATTTTCAGTGAAACTTCAACTTCCACTTTTTGCAGTTGCCTGTCTGATTTAGACGAATTTAGAATAGATACAGCCAACTGTAAACAACCACTGGTTTTCTGGGTTGGGACCATGTGTCAATTGATAAGCTTGACATAATGCTGCTTCGACAAAATAATGAGGTTGTTCAAGCCAATTTATTAGTTGTTTGACAGTGTATAATCACATATATGGGCATACAACCTTATCAAGTTGGATTTAAATAATTATGTACTTTTAGCTTGATTTATGTTGAACTTTAGTATGTGCAATTGATGTAGCTTTTTAAGCCAATGTTGTCCTGCTTAATTGAGTTTAAAGAGGAGTATGTATGAGTATTTCCGGCTAGGCAAACCTGGAAATATGTAATATTTGTGTGCAAAAAATTCGTCATCTCACTTGATGATGGCAAAGGAAAAAAGAGATATAGAAGTTGGTTGGGCTTGAGACAATAGTATAGCTAGTAAAAATTGTTGTGCGAAAGAATAGGCTCGCCTCTTCACCCAAGTCTCCAGCAAATGACAGCAAAGTTGGCTGAGATTCTGCCCAAAATGGAGTAGGACTTAGATAAGCTAGAGGTCAGGGGGCTAGCAGGCTCACGTTTTTCAACCCAAATTTAATTTCTCTTATTGGTTTAGAACGGCCCATTCTGTACGTCAGGGCTACACGAATTGGTGCCTGGCTGGCCGGCAGACAGAAATCTGCCTCTGCCGACTTTACGACAAGATCGTAATTCGTGCTTACATAATAGGGTTCGGACTTCAGAAAGAAACGAGAAAAACAACTAAACAAAAAAACCAGACTGAACCAAGGAAGAAAGTGATTGCAATGACCAACTATTGAGTCACTGATGCGGTGTGTCACCTCTGATGATCACATGAAACATGGACTCTCTCACAAATAGCTTAGCAGCATCTTACTTGATATTCCCAATTAATGTATTAGTGATCTGCCATCATTTTTCAACAATGGCTTTGCAAGCGTAAGAAATTGTGATGTAGAACTTGGTAGGTTGATAGAATATAAGTTTGATTCTAAGCTATTGGTTTAAGCTTTTAAATTAAATTTTATGGTTAATCATGATGCTATTACGCTTAATTTTTTAAGCGTGACGATAGGCTCCAGTCCAGCCACTAAACAAATATGCGGATGCTTATTCAAAGAGTTTGAATATTCATGTTTCGTAAGATGGTTGAATTAAAAGATTTATTATCATGAATAGAAAAACAATTAATTTGAAAAAGTTATTAATTGAAAAGGAACCATAGTAATTTTGAACAGTATACATTGATAAGGTAATTTTAACTTCATCCGGGATTTTTATTCAGTCTTTAATAGTAGAAATTTAGCTGTCTCTTTCGATGGTTTGATTCAATTTCCATAGCGTATATTTTGGCCCAAAAGACCAGGAAGCAAAGTTTGTCCGTAATTGTTGTAGCTTGAAGAAGACTGATTCAAATTGTTTAAACTTAACTGGTTGCCTGATCAAATTAGTTAACTTGAAATTCATCATAAACGAGTTTGAACTTTGAATTTAAGGAAATTGCAAAGAATTTGATCTGGGTTTTTTTGCCAGCTGTCCATTTTTTTTTTACAAAAGTTTTGTGCCAGCTTAAAAAGGTTGAACTCATATATGTGTTAACATTTTTTAAGTAGAAATAAATTTTATAATGAGATTAAGTTTAACAAGAGTTATCAAAGTCAGGTTATCAACATCTTTTTGTGAGCCAAGCATAGAAGCTCTTCTCTATAGGTTTGATGTGTGAAAGGGAGAGATTGTTGAGATTATTGCACATCAATTGTGGAAGGAGATTTATTATTACAGATTGTGTCTGTGAGATTGGAGATATGAAAGAGAAGAAGTGTTGTAACAAGATGTTAGTTGCAAGTAGAGTCAACTAGGTGAAATTGATTTGGTTGTACATGCGTATTGATCACTTATGTGAATATAGTGGAGTCAACATTAATTTAATTATGTGTAAGGGAAATTTTTTGAAGGTTAATGTGATGGTAGAATTTGTGTCAATGTAAAGATTTATTAGATATTGACTCAAATTTTAATTGAAAATCAATTTGAAGTTTAGTGAAATTTTATTAGTTAAAAAATTACTTATTAATTAAGTTTATTTAAGATAAATATTTTTAATGGTTAAGAGTTCTTAATAAATAAAATTTTTTGTGATCGAGTAAGTGAACTTTATATATAGAGTAAGTATTAACTTTAAAATTATGAGAAAGAGTTATAAGATTTTATTAGGAGAGATAGGTGTGTAGGGATATGAAAAAGAATTTACTCGAAAAAACATCGATTGCATGAGATAATGGATATTTTATAAATTATACACTAAGGAGCATGAAAACTAAAATTGTTTAGAGGTTCGAGATTAGTACTTATTTATGATGTTCTATATTATTTATAATTTCTATGTTTATAATAATTTTTTTTTCTCATTCACAAATATAAACAATTGAGTTGAACCACGTTAAATATTACTTTTTGAATATAATTTATTTTGTGTTGTTTTCACTGTAAAATTTATTTTTACTTAAAAAATTCCAAAAATAGGAAGTTGCTAAGAGCATGAGATCTGTGGTTTTGATTTTGATAAGGCAGTAGGTCCTGAAACATAAATCAAAAGTACAACTGTACAACTATGTATGGTTGAAGTAGCTTGAATCTTTGAATTTTGGCAAACTCAAGAAATTTCTTGGATGAAGAGGGGGCATCAGCCCACAGGTTGTGCCACTGATTCATCAGACCAGGTTTTGCCAGAATGTTTTTGTTGTGATATATGGAGCTTTTGTCATTTATTTTTTACACTAAACAAAATAAAACAACGTTTTCCTTCACAAGCCGCAAGCACATGGCAACAATAAACCTAATTATCTTTTCCTCCCCATTCCGTCACAAGGAATCACAAAAGGATAAAATAATTTCGTACAGTAAATGTTTCTGAAAGTACAATACATTATAATTATCAGCAGGAACAGACAGAAACAAGGAATCGATCTTCTGCTTAGAATCAAAAGACAAGGATCGATATATGCACAATACATTTAACATGAAATTCTTCTTAATATATATAATCTTTTGTTTTTCTTCTGTTTTTGCAAATTTAAAAGCTAGCTGAACTCTAATCTATCAAGGAAACTGATGTATGAAAAAAAATGAAAGAAATAAAATCCAAGAAAACCACCATTAATGAACCCTGGAGATCAAAGTCTCTCTCATAGTCCTAAAGTGTTCTAAACCAGTGGCTTCCTTCTCCCTCTTATTATTTCTTGAATGAAGCAGCTTTGACAAGAGCCCACTTTCCTTCTTCTTATCATCACCTTCTTTTATTCTCATTCTCGAAGCAAAAGCTACTGATCTGCTCTTAGTGAGTATGTTTTTACCACTGAACAATAACAAAGAAAAGGATGTACCCTTTCCTTCTGTAGGAAAACAATAACGATGCATGGGAGAGGAAGAAGAAGAAGAAGAAGAAGCTGAAGAATAATAAGATGACAAAGAAGAAGAAGAAGAACAATTAGAAGAAGCAACTGTAATTGTAGTACAACGTCGTGAGCTATTAGCTGATAACTGAGAGAGTTTCTCTCCTAAACAAAGTGAACAAACCCCTGGCGATTGCCTGTGCTTTGGGTGTCTTTTGCATCCTTCATTTGGCTTGGATCGCCCACCTGCTACATCCTTTGATGATCTTCTCAAGTTTGCCATTAGATTTTTGCTTCTCATTTTTATGAGCCCTGGTCTTGGCTGCCTTTGGGCTCCAAAAACTATATATAAAAGCAAAGTGGGTGCGTTTCCAAGAGAGTTCATGGGAGGTTTCCTTCGTATTTTCTTCTAAATCTCGCTTTTGACTGCTACATGCTTTGTGCTGAAAGTGTTGGAAAAGTTTGATATGGAATAAATGAACGGCTCTGATTGACAGAAAATAGGGTGGGGTCCACTTGATTGTTGAGTCGGTGGTTGAGATGTTTTGTGTAAAAACGGTGAAGTGTGGAATGAGACAAGCTTTCGTGAGGGCGGCGTAGAAAGTCAAGGAAGCCTCGTCAATATAAAATTGGGCCATTGGGGGAAATGAACGTGATCAAAACAGTGGATCACATCAACTTTTTCCAGGTTAACATTCCAAGATAAATTTTTTTAATGACTTCGCTAAATGAAACAATGGAGCTATTGGACAGTCTTTTTGTCTCTCCGTGTAAGCAATTTTTTTTTTCATATTGGTGCGATTTCATAAAGTAAGGAAGAAAAAAAATATAGAAATATTTTTAGTGCATTGCATGCCTTTGAGCCCCCAAAGTAATATTTTTATTACCATTTTAAATTTGAAGCATTGAAAAATTAATTAAGGCACGTAAGTCATTTAACCACTCCGCAACATCCCACCGAACCAATTTATTTGGTACTTTATATTTTTATCTAAAAAGTTATTTATTGACATTTATTTGTTTAATTTGATGGATCAACTTGTCGGATAACAAAGACAAAATGTAATTTGACCTTGTATATGTTTTATATTACTTAAAACTCAACAGAAATAATAACTCTTTTTTAATGTTAATTTTTTTATAAAAATATTATAATTTGAGGATAAGTAAAGCGAATTATAAGTATTAAAATTTAAATTTTAAGATATTATTTTTAAAATAATTTTATAAATTAATTAAATTAAAATGTATTTTTAGTGTCATTTCGACGCAAATTAATTTTCATATTTGTGGAAACTTGAAGAATAAAAGCCAATAAATGAGCACAGTGAGTGAAAATTTAAGCCTTAACATGGTTTGACTTAGTGTTGGTATAGGAGGTGAGTCAGACAATTTGCTTCAGGCTCCCTATATAAGTATTGTTAAGGTTTAATGACATGTTAAGAACATGATTAATAGTTAGAAATAAAGATTACTGTGGTCTCATGACATGTAAAACTCATGCTTGATTGGTTGGTAATAATCAAAGAGTTGGAAACTTGGAATCAAACCAAGTCCCCATCAGGTCTTTTCAGTTCTCTTCACCAGTGTCACATTTAACTCAAGTTTGCAAGAGACTGTACCCAGGTTGAATGAAACTGAAATTACGTTCCACCTTTTTTAGCAGCTTCGGAACAAGTTCGTAATTATTAGTTCAAGAGAATGAGTTTTCTTTCCCAACTTTATTACTATTAATTTCAACTCATTGTTACAAGGTGGAACCGTGGGCCAGAAAGGAGCTTTTCCTGACGTAATGAAAGCAAATTAACTAACAGAGTAAAAGGAGTTAGGTTGAGATTCAGGAACTAATAGAAACGGTAATAGCATATATGTCGAAAGCAGAATCCTTAAGTTGGGAGGAAACAATGAATGTTGGTTATTGATCTGGTGCTATAAAGCGGGAGTGGGATTCTTTCCAGCCATTAAAGGCCCATACTACATCTGTAATGTTGTAATAGACGCTTTACAGCACTCATCCATACCTAAATTTCCATCTCGTTCAAAATTTCCTGTAGTTGGGGCCGTAGGACTTGCTCTCCCATTTTCTTGACCAACCTGATTGAGTTTGATTTAAATATGATATTTGACTCCGGAACTAGCAAACTTTTCGTCTATGTATGTCGACCGACTTCGTATGCCGGCTGTGCATACAACATACTTAAAACCAAAGGTATAAAAGCTGAAGAAGAACTAAATTAGAACTTCGATTATCTATAGCCTTTTTTAGCTCGGGGCCGCATCCTAACTGCCAAACAATAAAATCATTGGATAGTCACTACAAGGTGATCGAGGAAAATTAGAAATAATCCGAATGAAGAAAAAGCTGAGAAATATGGGTTTGAAATAATTTGAATATGTGAAATATAAATTTATTTGTGTACCGATTTAGAGAAATGAATTTTTAAATTTATCAAAAATCAAAACTTTTTCAAATAAATCATGAAAAACGTGAATATAAATAATAAAAAATTAATCTAATAATTAAAAAAATAAATGAAAAAGTTATTGTTAATAAAAATAAATGTTACAAAAAGATTCAAAACTGGCTTAAAATGATTTCTCTTTTTAGTTTTTCGTATAATTGACTCTAAAATTTTGAGATATAACACTTGTCTTTTTGCTCTTGTAGTCACCATAAATATCTAAATTTGTCCATTGGTTAGGTCTGATAAAACCCGATTAACTTTTTAAAAACTTTAGCAAAGATCCGATTTGGTCCTTCAGCCGAAAAAGCTTGAAAATTTTTGATAAAATATATTACAATATTAAAAATGTTAAAATAGTAATATTTTTAAAAATATTTTAATTAAATTAAGTTACAAATATTTTAATTAATAATTTAATGTCTCAGGCCGAACCAAACTCACAAGCTAAAAAAATCTCTATCAGACCCGACCAATGAACAGATTTAACATAGTTGTAAGAAAGTCTCGCGTTAAATATTAGCAGAAAAATAGATGATAAAGGAATAGAATTTCCAATTTACATTGTGCCATCTCAAAAAAGAGCAACTGAAAATATAGACATTGATGAGTTCAAATGTTAAAGACAGTATCATCTTATTGCTTATATGTCCAGATTTCCCTCTTGATGGGTATCAGCAGTAACATGTTATAGGTTCAACTAAATGAGGTTCTCCAATAGGTTATGCTGAAATGTCATACATTTATCTTAAGCAACCAGATCTCACTATCACAGGCAAATGGTTAAGAATCTAAAAACTAGCACAAAGACAGAACCGCCAAGACCCTGATCTAGTCGTTGGACACCACAAGAACATGTTGAAATTTGTTTAATATGACTGCAGTTAGACGTTGAAAGACAAGATGAAATTACTGTTCTCATTCCATCTGATATTTAGTTGATTCAGCAGCCTCTGTGGTTTTGACTTTTCTTGGGCACTGGGATACATAAGGTTTAAGCTGCAAGAACAAAAAAGAACAAACCAGATCAGCAATAAATCCAGACTTTATCAATGAAGCGTAAACCAGAAAATAGATAGCTCAAACAGTTTGGAAAACAAAAATAGGGACGTCAAGCCACAGTTATGATGTATGCAATTCTCCTACTGGGATCTATACAGTGAACGACTCAAGTGTAGAGATCACAAGAAAATTCCAACTCTCAGCTAAAATGAAAACAAAGGTCAGTGATACAAAAGACATGATTACTCAGAATAAGTATTCAGTATTGGACAAAATACATCCTTCTTTCAGGCACAGATAATGTGATAAATGGGTTTTATCAATATCAAGGTCAAAAATCCAAAATAATCAAGGCCATCAATCCCCAAAAGTGCAATTCTTTGATATATGTGGGGTTTAGTTGGCAATCCCGAACTACATTTAAATTTTTAAAAGTGAATCCTAACTTAAAATTCAATAATCAACAGTTTAAAACCCTTATGGTAGAAAGTAAAAAGAGAAATTGCATTGGGCTGGGGCATAGGCCATAAAGGTTCAGTTATCCTGGGCAGAATGCTCTAATTTCAGTTCCACACAGACAACAGACAATTCTATTACACTCAACCAAAAAGCTTCTGTAGCACCTACAAGCCTCCCTACGAACAAGCTGAAGCCTTAAGTTTCCCCTGAAACTTCGCTATGAGGCTAGGAAAATGGAGACTAAAAAGTTTCCTGAACAAGCGGTGATTTGCACCTGATATAGAATGCTTGTCCACAAATAGAGAAATCGAAACTTCCCTACGAAGTTTGGAAAGGGAAGATTAGTAAGTTTCCCAGACAAGCGGTGATATGCACCTCATATAGAATGCTCTATCCACAAATAGAGAAATGGAAATTAAAAAATGCAAGAAAAGAATAAAATTACCTTGAAGTCGGTCAAATCAGGAACCAAATAGTTCGGCAACTTCTCCTGCATCAGAACATATCCACCTGCAGCATATTTTCAGTTGTACTCCACACAAAAGGCAGATATATATACAGTTAAAGCAATTAAAATTACAAAATTTCATGTAACATTCCATAATCAGTGGATTATGATTTAAACTCTGGGCAGTTAATATGGAACTTATATATGTTATTTTTCACCGCGTGGCTCTAATATTGATAACAACCTAGCAGCTATACAAGCTACTGGACTTTTTAAACTTGCAATCATAATCCTAAAGCCTAATAACTCTTGCAGCTTAACATATCCAAAATTAGCAATGGCTTACTCATTGAGTATCGAGAGGATTCTAGGCCACGTTCGCTCAAGCCACCACCTCAAATTATGTTTCTTATCTTTTATTATAAAATGATTATATTCATGTCCATAAGATTATCAATAATAGCTTAAGAACTTAAAAAGCACAAGCAGAGTCATTAAGAAATTAATATGCAGTATTCAGTTTGAGACATTTTGATAGTTTACAAGGAAAACTCCATCTTGTGATTAAACAAAAGCACTGTCAACCACGACGACTGGATCCGAATGTTCAAGAAAACAAAATGAAGAATTTTCAAAGTCTATTACGCTTACTTGCAACATACTAAACCCCGAAATAACCATACCCTCAATCAACGAACCCTAAAATTAAATTAATCAAAGATCACAAAGACAAACCCACCAAAAATTTCAATTAAATCATTGCTACAAAAAGATTCTTATGCTCCTTCAAATCTGACGATAATCAGTAAATCCCTCAAAACCCACAAAAGAGAGCGAGAAAGAGAGAGAAGTGAATGGAACCTTTGCGAGTGTGGAAACCAGTAGATTTGCAGTTCTTTCCCTTGTAGTAATCTCGTGGGGCTCGTTTCGACGAGAGAATGTCAAGCGATGAGGTACGCTTCCTGCGAAACGCCCTTCCTATCCCTAATATCAGTCCCAGCGGCATTTTTTCTCGTTTTAACCAAAACTATGAGACCCTGACAAGTGAAAACTACAATTAAGCCATCATTATTAGAAAAATAATATAATTCATCAACCACTATCGGTACAAGAAGAAGGAAGCATACTCGCTCGAGGCTTTAGCAGATCAAAGAAGCAGAAGTGAGCAGGGAAGGGTTTAGGGGTTTTCTTAACTTTTTTTTTTAATTTTTTAATAAATTAGAAAGACAATGATCCAGTAGGCCCAGAAAAATTTGGGCCTAAAATTTTGTTCTTAAAGAAAGTTAGCTTACAAACTAAGATGCCTAAATTCTGTCCCAATCTTTCTGTTCGTGTCAAATCATTTTTTAGCCCTCGTCCAACTCATAGCAGGAGCAAGCAACAGGCCAACATCAGACAATTAAGCATGTAGCAATGGCAGTTCTTCAGATTAAAAACCAAAGACCAGACAGCATAGTTCTTTTGAAAACTTTTCATTATCATTTTCTACCGATCGAGAAAAAAAAAACTCAAAAAATCTCACTAGGCAGAAGATTTTTGGTTGTGGGGATGGCCAAAATATTGACAAATGAACCATTAAAAAAAAAAATTAAGCTAAAGACATTGCATACGGATAAATGGATATTGGATCCTCCTTGCAACTTTACAAACGTTTGTTTGCCCATATCTTCTCATTTGATTCTCTTGCATATAGACAAACACCGTTGAGTCGCTTTCCAATTGTTTAACTTCCTTTATCTTTTACTTCATTGTTCCAATTTAACAAATATAATGTCAATGACAAACCTTTTTGTTAATGCATACACAAATAATACAAAGGAGAAAGAAAAAAAATACTGTACGTTTTTTTTTTTGTACAGTGGAATGTATTGGTTTAAACTGTTAAAGAAGTAGAGGTGTTGATTTCATATTCATGCTTTGAAAGTATGGTGACACTTTCCCTGGATTTCGTGCCATTTAGCAAATATAAAAGTAAAAAAATGGAGTGACAATTAAGCTTTGCAGCCAATAGGGTTAGAAGGATTGAGTGGCAAAGAAATGATTTGGTGGCTCTGCGGATTGCCACAAAGTCATACTTCATGGAAAGGCTTTAGGTTACCTTTTGTTTCGTAGAAAATAATTTTTAGAAAATATATATAATTTTTGAACTGAATTTTTTTTTATTGTTTAGATAAATTAATAAAAAATATTTTTTGTTATTTGACTATTTTTAAAAAAATTTGTTTTTTTAAATAATGTTAATATAATTATTAAAATATTAAAAATGATTTATTATTAAAATATATTTATTATTAAAATTATTATATTTTAATAATAATATTTAATATTAAAATATTATGTTAATATAAAAATACTTAAAATAAAATTATTTATTTATTATTTATTAATATATTATATTATTAGTATATTATTATTTAATATATTATTATAATATTTATTTATAATAATATTTATAAATATATTATTTATTAATATTAATATAATTATTTATAAGTGAAATTATACTTAAAAATATTAATAAATAATTTTATTGATAAATAATTATTTTTCGAAAAATATATTTTTTTCCAATTTGTTAGATAATTTCTTAAAAAAATCATATTTTTATTAATTAATAAATTATTTTTTATTGAAAAATTAATTTTTTATTAAATAAATATTTTAAAAAATAAAAATTATTTTTCACGAAAAAAAGGTCGTTAATTAGATTCCATAGGACATTAACATTCAAACATAATTGGGACCCATTTCTGACATGAGAGAGACTGGGATAGGAGCCAAGACTCCAAAGTCGCAGCAGCTTTTTGGTCTGTCTGTTTCCCACTCAAACTAGGAAAGCGGAGAAGGACGAGCATTATCTCCTCCACATGTTCTAGGCTTTGACGAAAGGGTTTGACGGGAAGAAAAGTCATATTTAGAGTATATTAGAAAGTTCGTTCGATGTGTTAGACGTCGTTTAAGTTCAAAATTTTAAATTATTAAGTTTTTTAATTCTTTATACATATATATGATATATTTTATTTATAATTTTTTAATAATATAAATTTTTTTATTCAAATATGAATTATCTCAGTAATTTTTTTTATTTATTTATGAGTTCATTCATTTTTTTTATGATGTGAGTTCATATATGAATCATTCCAATCATTTCTCACGTGAATAAGTCTCAACAATTTTTTTTTTTTGGGTAGAGCAACTTTATATCTTAAATGGTCTTAATGCACTTTAGACTTACCATTCAATTTTGTTGCTTAAGTTATTTGAATGTCTTTCAAGTTTAGCAATCAATTACGACTTTAATTTTATATTTCATCTTATATTGACTCAATATATCTTCTTAAATATTTTAATTTCACACATTTATTATATTTAAGTTGAAACTTTAGCTTTTATGTTAATTGATAGAGAGATAAATCATATTTAAAACTCATAAAAGTATATCAAAAAATTTATATATACATATTAGACATTACTTGAGTTTAAAAATTTAAATTATTAAATTTTTAGATTTTATATATATATATAATATTTTATTTATATTTTTTAGTGATATAAAATTTTTTACTCACGTTTAAACCATCTCAGAAGAACTAAGCCTGCCCGAAGGGCTCCATTCCAGTGCAGCTCAAGTTGATAATCATCAATGGAATCAGACGTTTACGCCAGACTAAAGATGTCATGCTTGTTTTTGCAAGGATTTAAGCAGGTTCACCGATCAAGGATGAGTTGGGGCTTTCATATTTTGGTATTTTATGGTTGAAACTTGAGAGAACTGCCTCCTCCCCCCCCCCCCCCCCCCCTCCGCACCCCTTCTTTGAAGAGAAATTGGGCGGTGATTTTGTCTGGTTTAAACCATAGACAAGTCCCTTTTGTTTCAGGGAGTCAGTGGTGGCCAAAGAAGTAAAAGAAGTCTTGTGGTTCTCTTGCCATTCAATTTTGATAGCTGTAGTCAGGATCTACATTTTACCAACCACATGGGCTGATGGGCGCCCATCAGAAAACGGGAAAAAAGAAGTGAAAGGAAACAGAAAAAAGATTGAAACGAAGAGGTTCTCCTTTGCATGTTCATAGCTCTCTTAAATGGAAAACAGGTTTAGCCAGTCATATTTTGCATTTTTGCAATGCCAGCTTAAAAACTGTTGCAAAAATTCACAACTTTGAAGAAGGGAAGGACATATTTTGTGTAAATACATTCGAGCGCCTCCGGTTTTGAAGTCAAATCAAAAGGAAAAGAAACTTTGTTGTAGGATTAGGATGGCCGAATCCAGTATCCTACATGGACATTGGACAGCCTAGCCTTGTGCTTGCTGCTATTACAGATCCTCACTCCTCATTTCCTCAATCAATCCCTCAATTAATAGTGGCATGCTAATTGCTAAGGCACATGCAATTGAGAAAAGGCGTCTCCTTGATGTGAAATCCTCCACTTACACTCTAGTCAATTAACTACTTGGACATTTGCTGATGATGTTCATTGTTGAAGCATATACTAACCATATTTGTTTTTCTAAAACAATAGAATAGCAGAACTTAAGTCCTAAATTACAAAACTTTTTTAAGGCTATTTTATTCCTTCTGCAATAATTTTAAAAGCTTTATGGTTTTGGGGGCTTCATTGTTTTTACTGCCCTGGGAAATACCATTGAAGAGTTGGAGCTTGATCAACTGAGAAGAAATTGCAAGATTCCTCTGCAGTAAACATACATTGCTCTTCCACTTTCACTAACTGGGGATGATACATATTACCCAGAATCGTTCTTGAGTCAAATGGTTGAAACCAGTGATGATTTGATGAATCTGAAGATGAAGAAGATCCATTAAACTGAAAAGAAGAAGAAGCTGGTGATATCAATAACTGAGCATTGGCATTGCTTTCTTCTTTATTAATTCCATTGGAATCATCATCATTGTCACGGAAATCATGCTCTTTGTTCTGCTGTGAAAAATTAGGAGAATCTTCTTTAATAGAGTGGCTGCTTTCTGAATTCTCTTCTTTGAGCTTATCTTTCAGCTCTATCAACTGCAATTTGGCATCCAAAATTACATTAACCTTCAAGAATTTCAACTTTTAATTACTTCAATCAAAATGGGATTTCAACTAATACACTATACCTTTGCAGTTAAAGCCTCTTTTTCTTGTTCAAGATTGTTATAGTCAAGCTGAAGAGCATCATAATTGGCTTTAAGGATGGCATAATCTTTCTCCAACTGCTTAGTCTTCCAACGGGATCGACGATTTTGGAACCAAATAGCTACTTGCCTTGGCTGCAAGCCTAATTCTTCTGCTAATTTCACCTTTCTCTCTGGCTCTAACTTGTTTTCCAACTCGAAATTCTTCTCCAAGGCCTTAACCTGACCGATCGATAATCGCCTTTTCTTCTCAGTAGCTTGACCTGCTTCTTCTAAACTGTCTTCCTCCTCTAAACCATCTAACATTGCCTGGAATTCCCTGCTGTAAATTTGCTTCTTCTTTGAATTCTTCTCTTCTAGACAATCAACAAATTTAACTCATTAACATGGTATATTACAGAACTTTCTTTGATAAACTATTTGGTCGCTGGGAAAATCAAGGAATATTGAGAAAAGGAAAATAAATATAGAAATTTTAAGTCTAACCCAACAAAAAAGGGGTCTAAAGTAAAAAAGAAGAAAGAGATGTTTCTGAATTATGATGTAGAGTAATAATTGAATTCCATGTTGCTGTACCTTTAGGTGGACAGATGGAAATCAAAGCATCCAGGGAACCTGAGGAACTGAGCCGCTTCATGATTTAACCAAAAGCAAGCACCTAAGCTGATGTGTTTTAAGGTACTGTCCTCTGTTGTTGAAGGAGGGTTCAAACTTTCAAGCAGGCTTGCTGTTTTCCTCTCTTTAGTTTGAAGATGCCATAATTACAAACAATACTATATGCTGTGCCACTGAAAGCTGACATGAATGGAAAAAAATGCTCTGTACAAAAGGAAGAGAGAAAAGGAGGGAGAGATGGGTTTCTTTCTTTTAATGCTCCTCAGTCGTCACCTTCAAGTACTTGGAAGAAATTAAGAATGAAGCAAAGTCATTAGCCTTCCAAGAATTAGAGAATTATTGGAAAACAGCTTTCAAAATAAAAAGAAAAACTCTTTCTTAATCAAAGTGTTAAGAGACGGAGAGAGACCTCTGAAAGGAACCTGCTTCACTGAGAGCTGTTATATAAAGGCCTTAGGCCTTTAACTGATGCGAACTGTTGAAGCGAAACGAAATTTGACATCTAGTTGGAAAATTATCAACCTTTTTTTTAATAAATTTGTCAACTTCAAAATTTTTTTGTGGTCCATTTTATCTATAATTGGCTCTAAACTTATTTGATGAGCAATTATGATAAGATAATATAGTAATTAATGAATTGAACTTGGTGAGTTATCACAAATCATTCTGATATAATTTTACTTTTGGCATTTTTAACTCTTTCTAGGCAAAGAGAATTCAAAGAACACAGATAACATTAAACAAAAAGAAATTTCTAAACTCAGTGATTTGGTCCAATTTATTTGATTTAAATTAAAAAAAAATGTTGGTTTGAAAATCAAGCCCAATAAATCATTTACTGTTATACGTAAAAAATAAATATATATATGTACATTCTAAAAAAGTACATATCAATTATAGTAAATATAATACAAATTGATCCAATTGAATTTAAAAAAAAAATGGTCTCTGGAGTGAATACTAATCAATTAAAGTAAAAGCTTGAGCTTTACTTTTCTTTAGAATTTAAAAGCTTGCCATCGTGAGTAAGCAACGTACATAAATATAAGGTTGTCATTTTGCCACGTCCAACATGGAAAATGAATCAAATCATATGGTAAATTGATTATTTTATAATATAATAAGGATTCATTTGACAATATGATAAGAAAAATTTTCATCGAAATATAATATATTATTTAACTAAATAAGAATTCCTCTGCCGTAAGTAAATTAATCTGGACCAAAATTATTCGCTGTAAAATGTATTGAATTAGCTTTTATCTATTTGGTTGGAACAAAATAGTTTGGCATGAAACTGCCAAACCTCAAGTCTGGAGGCAACAGCTTCATCAATCATTTCTACTTTGGATTACAATCTCATTAGTTGCAAGCTGCAGTTGTCTCATGATTCAGGATCAGGGATTAACACTAGAGTACTGCAACTCTTTAGCAGTCAACACTTGGCCTAATGGGGATTCCTCAGCACAATTTAATGAGAAAAGGGTGGAAGGTTTTGATTCAAGTTGTTGAATCAGAGTATATCAGAATCATTCTGTATTATGTTATATTAAAGTATAGGTCCATAGAATAAAATATCCAAAGGTTTTGCATAACTTTTTCCCAAGGCATGTGATATATAATATTATCAACATCATCTTGAAGGGAAGGAGGATCAACAGAAACACAACTTGCGAGACAGAGAAAACATTATTTATTAGTCCTTAGGTGGGATTCCCCGCCCCCTCAAACTCAAAGGTGTCAATGTCCCATTTCTCCAGTTTCCTCTGATCTGTTATACGGAATGCTACACTGATTTGCATGGTTTCTTTTTCTTTTCCTTTTTTTTTTCATTAAAAAGGAGACCTGACCTTCATGGCTCCTTCAGAGAATGCGGAATCGTTTCATTGCTTACTTACACTGTTCTGTTTTCTAATCATGTTTTCAACAAGATTTTAATAATGCCTGAATCATTTCACGTTTGTTGTCTTTCTTGTTGAAACAAAAATATTCTTCTCTTACTTTAATGGGGTCATTAACTTGTGAGAAAGAACTTTCCATTGGGAAACAGTTGTGTTCTACCACAACTCCTGGTTCTTAACAATTCATGTCATCCTGTTAGCAGTTTAAAAAATCTGATACAGGGAATGGTCGGGAAAATTGAGTCTGTTTGGCCAGCTGTAGCTTCTATAAAAATTATTGCTGGAATAAAATTGTTGTAAAAATAATATAAAAAGAAGTTAAAATGGCATTTGGCAATACATAAGTGAGGTAGAATGTTGAAAAAATATTTGATAATATTTTATATATTTTTAAAAAATAAAATAAAATATATTAAATTAAACTATAGATTTTTAGGTGATAAATAAATAAAACAGAGATATTTTGTTACTTGTAATAAAAATAAATGAATTCAATATAAAATGGATAAAATAAAAAAAATATTATGAAATAATATAATTCTCATTATAATTTTGTACAGATGTGAAAATATTTTCATGAAATATTTGTTATTAAAATTAGTATTTCTTGAAGAAGTTTTAATTTATAATTTCATCTAAAAACTCAAATTTATTTTCTTGCATAAGTTAAATTTTTAAAATTTTGAGAGACAAACACCTGATTTCTGCTTTTGCAATAAATAATCTCTTCCATAAGCTAGGATGTGATCTAGTGTTCTATTTGGAAGATTTAATTTTGGATTGCTAATTCATAGAGCAGAAAAATCCCATAGCATTAATGCAGGCTCTTTATTCTTTATCTCTGCAACACTGATTTTATCCAATAACACCTAAACAAGGTCCCCAAAAAAGAAAAGATTGATTATCAGTTGACTTGATCAAATTCAGCTCAAAAAAGTACATAAAGCAATAAAGAAGATAACAAAAGAGGCTAATATACTAATGATCTCTGCTATTGAAACTATTCAAACATGAGCAATAGAAAATGATAATGGCAATACAATGCACATTTGGCACCGACTTCTCTGTAGCAGTAAATAGCATCTTATTGAGAATTTCACATCTGTCAACTCTAAAACAGGTCGGTAGTCCAGCCTACAATACTTCTCACCAGTCACCACCACTCTATCATTCTTATAAAGCTTAAAGCTAAACAATTTAGATAAAGACAGGAAATGGTGGTGATCTTTTTCAGGGTCTGATTGATTCTGGGTATCCAATTATAAGCCAAAACGAAACTATGGGATAAAGAACTTTTTGTGGGTACATGTCACTTTATCGTAGCGTCAAGGGGATCATGGCAATGGCAAGATCTTAGCAGTTAGAGTCCAAATCTCAATAGAACATCACTTCACATCAGTTTAGGAAGCATGATAACATGGTATTTCCCGGAACTTGTTTTTGAAATGAGCTTGTTGAGATATTAGGTTGGATATCTCAAAAGTGATGGCTAACAAATATCCCTGGCATTTAACATCTATGATTTCTAATTCTAGATGAAAAGTAATGCATGCTTTAGTTTCGTGTAGGTCACAAAACCCTATAAAAAGGGTATTTTTTTAGTCTAATGCAGATAAAAATGGGAAAAAAAAAGGATAAGCACAAGAATTAAGTAGTAATTAAGAGGGTAAATAAAGATAAGGATTTGAAATAAAAAAAGTTTCTGGTAGGTAGGGTTACTGCCTTACTTGGGTAGTGACATTGTCTAATAGCCAAGTAGAAGAGAGAGAGAGAGGCTTAGGGCAATGACTTCAGAACCTATAGGGAGAGGGAGAGCAGCTTTTGCTTTATGCTTTATTTCTTATTTCTCAGAGATGTCCAAAAAGATGGTATGGGGAAGGCAGTGAAACAGAATCTTGCTTGACTTTGAACTCTATGATATAACACTTTTGTGTGGAAAAGTGTCGTGATTCTTGTGAATATGGTTCACACTTTTTTCAGATGCATGTCTTTCAAAGGTCTGAATGAAAGCTAATATGACATTTTTCTCAAGGGACTCTGCTTTACAACTGGAAAAGTTTCCTTAGTGGTATTTTTCTGTTGTGTCTGAAATGCCAAATTCTAGCTGGCTCATCAGCACTGTGCATTTCAAGAAAGGATAATGAAGCTCAGCTCACCAGATTTTGCTCAATCTGTCCCAATGAAACGTCATCAGAAAGCAATATAGGGTTACAATATTTGTTTTTTTTCCCCTATTATTTAACAATCCTACAATTTCAGTGTGTAAAACCAAACAACTTCTAAATTTTGGCAAGCAAACCATCCATTGGATAGTGAGGGTGAGAAAAGTGGAAAGAGTAAATTAAGCTCCATCATTTCATGGGTGTAATTGATAACTCGGGATAACCCTATCTAGCTTCAGATAAACCCATGACTGCCTTCCACATCAAGAAAACCTAGCTGCATTATTGGCCATTATTGTTAACTTAAACTGCAGATACCAAACAAGATAATTAGCCAAAACACCACAGTTTTCAATTCTAATTCGTACGGTAATTGAAAGAATGTGAGTTGAGAAACTAACTCACTCACGCCTCTCCCTCGCTGAGTTCGCACGGCTAAAGTAGTAGTAGTCAAAGACGCAACCATATGAAAGTTATGAACCCTGACAAGAAGCAGAAAGAGTTTTGGTCCCGGAAAAAGAAAGAAGAGAGTAACAGCAACAACACCAATTAGGGGGCCACTAGCCAATGAACTTTTTCATCGCCTTTGTGTCCCTTCAAAAGCGTGAACAAGACATTGCAAGAGAGTGTGTTACCTCAATTTCCCCCTCTATTCACCCTTTTCCCCCCTCTCTTCTCTCCTTTTTCAATCAATTTCCAGTTTCCAGTTTGCAAACAAATCACTTTCCAGTTTGCAGTTTCCACCACTCTTATTTTCAAGTCAAAGTAATTCATTTTGTGAATTAACTTTGATGCAAAAGAAAGGATGTGAGAAAGAGAATATGAACGAAATTTGCAACTAGCTGTAGTTCTTTAGCCAAGGTACATAGAAGAAAAAAGAGAGAACCTCCCCAGTGGAGTGAAACTCCATATGAAGCAGCATGTAGGCTACAAAATTTGTTGCCTGTGAATTATGTTTCTTTAATCTCAACCTCAGAAGCCTAAGCAAATAAAAGACCTCTTCATTAAATTGTAACTCTAATATCGAGATGAAGGAAATGAGGCGCAGCAGGAGGAGATATCGGTTCCAGCAACCTCCATGACCAGAGTACCATAAGGTCCAAGAGCCATATTGTACTTCGTAAATATTTATATAAACGACCATTCGATGGAATATCAAATTAATTTAGCCTTTTTTTTCTCTGTAAATATATGTTGCAAGAGTTTGTGCAGCTAGGGTGGTAGCAGTTTATTATGGAGAACTATAATCCGAATGATTGTCAACCAATAAGCCGGAAAAACTGAGACTGAAAATGCATGATAAAAATATCATAATCACTATCAAAGTGTCAA